TTATTAAGTTACATTAGTTATGTAAATATCTAAAAATTATAAGATATTTATTTATAAAAAAATATGCATTTATTAACATTTTTAAAATTGTATATAAATCATGCATTTATTCATAATATTAATATATATATATATTGTTTATAAAATCTTAAAATACTAAAAAAAAAAAATGAAAAAGTGAAATGTAGTAGTGAAGGGTGTGGGAATCAATAAAGCAAGGAAATGACAAGTGCTTTTAAGGTCATGCAAAATAAATAAACAAAATACAGTGTGATGTTACAATAGGTGTCCCTCATGCACGGAATATATCTTGCCAAACAGAAAGCAGGGAACACGGAGAAAAAGCAACGCAGACGCACCACCAACGCACTTATCGAGGCAAACAAACCACTCTTCCAAACGCTTACTTAGCAGCCTAGAATAATTGGGATTTGCAAGTAATCAAACGATTCTCCAAACCAAAAGAAGATTGTCCCTCTTTCTCTCGCTCGCTAGTTCGATTCCAATCCCCCCCGATGCTCTCTCTCTCTCTCTCACTCACTGCTGTGTTCGAGAACACTTTACCAAACGACCTAATGCTTTATCTCGAATGCTGTTACTCTCTGAAATTCGAGAAAAATAAATAATTTTTTATGAATTTATATATTTAATATTAAAAAATTGATATTTATTTATATGGTATTTAAGTGTGATAATTATATGTATTATCGTCTTCCACAAGAAATCAAAAGAAAATAACCATTAATATCTCCAGAAGATATTATGTTGAATGACACTAAAGAGACAAAACCACAGAGTCTGGTATGGATGTAAAAATTTATTATAGTTTGATGATTAAAAATACCCATTGTCCAACAGAGGAGAAAATATTATTAGATTTTCTAGGTTATAATGTCGACGGACAGCTTTTGATCAGTGGTGGTCGACGGTGATTGTTAGTGATCGATTATGGTCAGCGGTCGACGACATTCGGTGGTGGATGACGGTGACAGTAGATGGTGGTTGTCGACGAATGTCAGCAGTGGTCGACGACGATAAGTGGCGGTTGGCGGTGATCGACGACAGTGGTGAGTGTCGAAGGCGATTGATGGGGGTCGACAGCAGTCGGCGACGACCGACATCTAGTGGCGATGGTGATAGAGGTGTTGCTGGACTTCAGCTCCTTCTCAAAGCTTTAATTTCTCTCTCAAGCCTCCAGCCTCCTCTCATGAGTGAGGTAGACTTTATTTAAAGTGCTCTGGGTGCAATGAATGTAGAAATATGAACTACTTTGATCGGACGGTTCGAAGGACTTCTTTCGATCAAACAGCGTTTGATCGACGTTTGAGTGCATGAACGATGTCTGAATTGAACAATCATAGACTCATTGGATTAATTTTGTCGAGACGTTCAATTTTATTATAAGCTTGCAAAATTTGACATTTATTTAACTTTCTAAATATATCCGAAAAACTTTCAAAGGTGGTTAATGATCTGATGAGAGCTTGATTTGACTCAGATTAGACTAATTTTGATAACATTGGGCTCTTCTTGTGAGTCGATCAATTTGACGATAAGTTCGCTGAAATCAGAGTTCTAGATGAACTCTCAGCGAGGTCTGAATATATCTTGCTAAAAAGCAGCCTCGAGATTATGTCATACCTCAAGATTTATGTTGGACGATAGAAATTTACCAGAGATGTATCAATATTTAATTAAACACTTTTTTATCATCTAAATTACATAAAATCATATGCATAAAAAATATGTTTTGCTTTAAATAATTTAACTTTTGTGGTCTTTTGATGTGATTTAGAGATTTGTGCGGTACACAAGGAAAATAATAGATATGTTGATGCATGTGGAATTTTATGATATGTACTAAAATCTCTTATAAAAAACTGTCAAATGTCACCATGAGCTTAGACCAAAATGAGACCACCTCACTGCCCCATTTAACAGTGACAATCACAAATGCGGTATCTGAATGTACAGAATCTTTAGCTGGATGTCGTCGGTATGTTTTGAATTAGTCCATGATTCCAAATAGCACATTGCTCATAATAATCTACTAAAGGAAATAATAAAAGCAGGATGACAACTAGTAAAAAACCAATTTGCCTAAAAAAAGAGAGAAAATATTAACACTTAATCAATAAATTATTATAATTTAACATAAATCTTGATGCAAAGTTTGAATAATAGACGATCAAAATTCAAATTCAAGATCATTCAGAGTCTAATTTCAGTAAGTTTAAAGTTAAACTGACGGTCTCAAAATTAATTTAGTTGAATGATCAAATGAACTCCAAAGTTAACAAATTTATGTCAAATTGAGCATCTTAACGAGAAGAAATTAAAGAGTCTAAGCTCGCTTAATTCTAAGATTTTTAAAGCCTCAAATTATTGATAACTCTCTTATGATCAAAGGGGGTCAGCATGTGTTGTTGGAATAGGTGGCTATGAGAGTTATTCGCCGAATGACCAAATTGCCTCTCCCCTAGAGACTATAAATAGACCCATTTCCTTACTTGAAAGGGGGAAGAGAACGAGTCAAATTTGAATATTATTTCAGACTTAAGACACGATGAAAACTTTAAGCCTTCATGGTCTTCGACCACCACCCGCCAATTGCCTTCGACCACCGCCCCTCAGTCACCGTTGACCAATCTCGGCCACCCCTTGCTTCTCGTCATTAGTGAGCTCTATTTGCTTACGAAGTATTCGTAATGCGGTGTAATGTACTATCTCTAATACGGTGTAATGATATATCCCGAATACAGTGTAACAAAATACCCTGACTACAATGTAATGAAGTAACTCAAATACAGTGTTACAAATAACATTGTATTGAAGATCTGACATTGTCTCGATGGAAATAAAGATTGTGATGCGGATGTCAGGTATTGCCGACCAATATCAGATACTGTCTGTATGGTATTCATCCTTAATACATGGGTGAAAAGGACAAGTCTCAAGTATCAGTCGGTGTCTTTAATAAGGGATTGACGGTTGTCCTTAATATTTATGATAGATTCTTTTGATAGCTGTCCTTCTATAAGTGCGTTGGGCTATCATTTCAAGGAAATTGAGTGGGCTCGATTCACCTACTTTGGCTGGTAGGCTCGATTCAACCACTTTATTAAGTGAGCTTTATTCAGCCACTTCATTGATTGGACTTGAATCAGCAGCTACTTCGGTAGGTGTGTTTGATTCGCTAAAAGAAGTTTCTATGTATCAGTGTCTATGAATACAATTAATACATCATTTATTAGCTCACACAAATTTTTATTCTAATGTCGTTTAGCTAATGTTTGCGTGTACTGTTAGCGATTCAATTGGTGGATTTTAAAAGGATTGGTTCATAATGTTTAATTGCAGAAAATTGGCCTCCTACTCGGTGTGTTTCCTTAAAATTGACGTAAACTATGATCTATTATTGTAAATGAATCATTATTTACAATTAGTATGTAAAGTTCAATGATTTATGTAATTTAGACATGTGAGAAGATGAACAAGAAATAAACTTTATATATAGATGTATTGTCGCATGTTAGAGGATTTTTTACAGTACAGTGATATATTAATTTTCTGGTGTTGTATAAAGATTAACATACACACAGATAAAAACTGACAGAGAGAACAATAAGAGTGATTATATGAAATATCCAAAATGATAAAAACTATGAAGCAAAGCCTAATGCAGGTTACAAGCTTTTTCTAGATCTTAAATGGTTGGAAGCAATATTACACAAGTGGGAGTTATCCATGTGACTTTGGCTAGTGGAGTGTCAGAGTACATTAGAGGAAGTGGTGGCGACCCCTCTGTTGTGAAGGGCGATCCAGCAGTGGCAGTGACTAGATGTCGATGGTCTGACGAGGACTATTATGGTGATTAGACAGTGATGATCCGTTGAAGGCAACAACTTGACGGCAGTGGTCAAATAGTGATGATTAAACGGTAGTGGTAACTAAATAGTTGTAGTTCGACGGCCTCGATGATGGCCGTCGAGTAACAGTGGTCCGATGGTGGCTAAGACCCAATGGCGGTGGTATAGCGACAACAAAGGTGATGTCCGGGCAACGATGGTCCGGTGGAGGTGACAGCCAGACAACAATACTCAAGCGACGATGACGGTGGTGGTCAGACAACATTGGTCTGACGACGACTGTGACCGGACATCGGTGGTCTAGCGGTAACGACTTTGGTGGCCGGACAAGGGTGGTCCGACCGCGGCGGGGGCCCGACAATGGTGGTGTAGCAGTGGTGTAGATTTGGAACTCTCAAGAGCTTGGACTTAGAGCTCCTTCAACCTTCTTCTTCCTTCCTGTCCCCTTTCATGAAAAGAGTGGTGGCCTAACTATAAATTTCTTAGTGACATCTTTCATAAATATTATATAAATCTGCCTAAAATAGCTGAATTAAAAAAAAAATCATTAAGATAATTTTAAAACTGGCTTGGAGAAAGTCGGCCATGGGAAATAGATATAGTTCTGTCACACTCAATTGAATGACTAGTGTGACTGCGTTCTGAGCAATGGCCGGATGCTCTTGAACTTTCATCATGTGATTCATTCTTATCTTTTCTCTCCTCCAATTTTATGCTAAGCAAATCATATTCCTCTGTGAATTGATTTATGGCTCATCAGTTGAACAAGCATATAACTTTTTGAGAAATATAAGCTAGATAAATTTAATTTTTACTTATAAAATATTTAAATCTTCGATATTATATAAAAATCACTAATTTAACATCTTTTTAAATTAAATATAAAAATGATATATTGAAGTAAAATATTTGAATATTGTTTATCAAATCACTTATTTTTCCAGTTGAAACACCCAGCCACAGAATTTTCTATTTGCTTTTATTGCAGCAGAGATTTTTCTTCACTGTTGAGAGCCACAGTTTGGGTTTTTTAAGGCCTATATTTTCTTTTTCTGTCACCAATATCCTTCTTCCGTCTAAACCAAGGGTGGCAGGCACGAGAGTTTCTACTTTCCTGTCACTCTTAGGAGGCAGCCAGGCCCCTCATAGCTCGAGCTTCAGCCATGGTTGCTGACACAGTACAGATTTGAAGAAGGCTGCTTATTTCCTTCCTTCACATTACCTGCTACAATCCATGAGTGGGAAAAAAGAGAAGAGAAACAACCTCTTCTATTGACTCCATTAGACCTCATCCATTACATTGTTTCTTTGTCTTTGGAGGATTTTGGCTTTATGGGATCAAGGAAGAAAACAAGCTTTGTGCTTCTCTTGGTTTTGCTCTGCTTCTGTGCTTCTTCATTCGCCTTTCTCTCTCCCAAAGGTGTAAATCCTGAAGGTTTGTTTTTTGAGTATTTGTATCTCTTTTACTTATTACGTTTATGTTGGTAATGAAATAGTTTTCAAGTTCTGTGTTTTTTGGTATAGTTATGGCTTTGATGGGTATTAAAGCCAATCTAAAGGTTCCTCATGATGTGCTGGACAACTGGGATCAGGACTCTGTTGATCCTTGCAGCTGGAATATGGTCACCTGTTCAACAGAAAACTTAGTAATCGGCTTGTAAGTTCATCTAATCATTCCTTGCTTCTGCTTATTTATGATTTTTGCAGTTCAGAGGTGCACAGTTTCTGAGCTTCTCTCTTGTTGGCAATGTTTTAGAGGAACTCCTAGTCAGAATTTATCTGGAACTCTTTCTCCAAGCATTGGAAACCTGACAAATCTTCAGACAGTGTAAGTTAATGGAGTCAAGGTGGCATACTTTTAATAATTAACACTCTTCTTCTCACCTTTATCTGTTTTCTAGGCTTCTGCAGAATAACAACATAACAGGGCGAATCCCTCCTGAGATTGTAAGGCTATCAAAGCTTCAGACGCTTGATCTCTCCAACAATCACTTCACTGGTGAAATACCAAACTCTGTGGGTCAATTGAGAAACCTCCAATACCTGTAATAAGTCATTATAGTCTTTAAAATAATGGTCTTTTTTTGTAAAATTTCTGTTTTTTGGTTTCTTTATATCTTATTCCTTTTGTTGGTGTGGTTTTAAACCAGGAGGCTGAACAATAATAGCTTTTGTGGAGCATTTCCTCTCTCTCTGGCTAATATAACAGAGCTTGCTCTCCTGTGAGTCTCGTCTCTTGTGTGATTAATGGAGTTGTTTTCTGCAATAGAATTATAAAGCTGAAAAAGTTGGTCGTGTACATTTGTTTTTGCAGGGATTTGTCCTACAATAATTTCAGTGGCCCAGTGCCAAAGTTTTCAGCAAGGACTTTTAAGTATGCCTTTTGACCCACTCTTATACTTTTGATTCTGCTCAGTCTTAGTTTGATTAACCTTAAATATCTAAATAAACATATTGAATGGAAAAGTAAATTACAAAATCTCAAGAAGCCAAATTCAAGCTCTCGCCTGTTTGAAAAAAAAAAAAAAACTAGTTGGATTTAGATATATATATATCTAAATCTGTCAGCCGCGTACTCAGATCAGTTGGTCAGACATCTGTTTGTCGATTGTAAGTCCTCTCTTGTCTGGGGTTCAAATCCCCCCGAGTGTAGGGTGTGGTACTCAAATTGTTAGACGCATTACGGATGATCGGGGCTCGTATAATAGCTTCCGACTATTTCTTTTTTAATATATATATATATATATAGTCTTTGCGCCTGATTTCTGTTTCGTGTATTCTGATAGGGTTTTTTATCAAAATAATGCTTAATAAATGTGTTCTATCAGAATATTCTGATAGGTTTTTTTAATCAAAATGATACTAATTTTATTACAAATGTTATTGATTTTCCGAGTCATGTATTACTTCTTAATATAACTGCATATTGTTTCTCTTGATTGACCTATATAGTTATCTTTATGAAGATGGATTGCTAAAATTAGGCGTCTTGAATCCTCTAGTATTGTAGGAAACCCCTTGGTTTGTGCCACTGGTTCAGAAAATGAATGTTATGGAACTGTGCAGATGCCTATTTCCATCAACAGAAATAATTCACAGGGTAAGAAGCTAGTTTTATACTCATTTACTCTGCATTTCCATGATTTATCATGAATTATTAAGTGAGAAATTCTATGGGTTCATGAAACTTATTTATCTTTAATTCTTTTCAGAAATTTTATCTTTTGCAATCAAATTTTTTGGAAAACTGCTGATGAAAAATTAAATAAATGTGTCAATAATTCTTAGTTCAGATTGTTCTTTTTTCTTTTTCTTTTGAGAAAATTGTCAAAATAGTCCCCTAATTCTATGCAGGGGACACTTTAATCCCACTGTCAATAAAGTGCCAATTTAGCCCCCCCAATTTAAAGATTCCGAAACTAATTTAACACTTTTATAGAATCTGGAACTAAAATGAATCCCTGCAAACAGTAAGATGGCTACTTTGGCAATTCAATCTTTTGTTTTTTTCATATTTCTCCTTAAAAACTGAACAAATTTTAATATTTCTGAAGCCCCCCAGAGCCAAGACAAACCCAAGAGTCACAAGCTTGCTCTTGCTTTGGGGACCAGCATTGGATCCCTTTTTTCTCTCTTATTCGGTTTTGGAATATTCATCTGGTGGAGACACGGACACAATCAGCAGATCTTTCTTGACGTCAATGGTCAGTATAACTTGACAGAACCCTTAAACCATTAATCATAAACTAATCTTCAAAAGAAAGCTAAAAAAATTCGTCTTTTTAATCTGCAGACCAACATAACGATGAAGTTTGCCTTGGAAACCTGAAAAGATTTCAGTTCAGAGAGCTTCAAGCTGCCACTGATAACTTCAGCAGCAAGAACATATTAGGAAAAGGTGGATTTGGGAATGTTTACAAAGGTCAGCTTCCTGATGGGTGCTTGGTTGCTGTTAAGAGGCTTAAGGATGGCAATGCTGCGGGTGGGGAGACACAGTTTCAGACTGAAGTTGAGATGATAAGCTTAGCAATTCATCGGAATCTCCTCCGGCTATATGGGTTCTGCATGACGGCTACCGAAAGGCTTCTTGTATATCCCTACATGTCAAATGGGAGTGTTGCATCAAGACTCAAAGGTAAAAATGATGATTTTTATGGTGTTTATTTTTTTTATTATTTATTAGATGCAGTTCATTAGGAATTTTAAAATGCACGTATGATCATTCATTCAAGATCTAATTTTGTTTTGTATGAAATGATTTATGTGAGGCTGATATTTTAATCTCAGATTATTGTTTTGGTAGCAACCCAAAATTGCTTCTCTTCAAATGGCCAAATTGGATTTGAAGAGAGAACTAAAGATGGTTTAAGGATCGTTATATTTTCTTAGATTTAAAAGTGAAGTGAAAGAAACAAAAAATCGCAGAAAGATTGAAGAATGCAGGGAAATTTACGAGGTTCGGCAATTTGTGCTTTCGTCCTCAGAAGCGACGATTTCATTGTTCCAGAAAAGTTTAGTAAATACACATAGAATTACACATCGAATATATAGATAAAACTCACATATATAATTACTAAAATACGCCTGTACCATATCACGGGGCGTTACCCCCGCACCCCCAACCAACTGAACAAAACTCTACCGTTTGGACAGATGTTTCCTTTCTGTTCCATTCTAGCATCTGTCTCTTATCTGATATATGGGTCTACCTAACAAAAATGATATATTATAGAACAAGGAAACTCATTTATGTAGTATGGATCAAGGAGACTTCTTTATGTCTGTTATGACCGGAAATTATATTCAATTTTGATTATGGTAATTTTTTTTAATCACGATAATTCTTCAGACATAATAAGCGATGTAGGACTTGTTTAGGGTAAACTTTATTTTCTTTATTTATTTTTTTGCTTTCTAAAACATGTATATTTAATGTATTTACTTATATTGATCAGAATTCTTGTTTTTAAAAATAAGCCAACTTATTTTTAAAATGACTCGCTATACCTTTTAGGTATTTTGAATGTTCTGAGGAACAACCAAATAAATTCTAAACGTGACAAACTGTTGAGAAATTAGGGCGAAGAAAAATAATAATCGATTAGAAGAACACACAGAGATTTTTAGAAGAACACACAGAGATTTACGAGGTTCGGCAAAGATGCCTACGTCTCCGGGAGCAGAGCGGCGACCTCCTTTTCAATATTCAGAAAAGAGTATAAAATACAATATTCAGCTCTCTCAAAGATCTAAGATTACAAACAATTTTTTTTATAATCCTAGAGTAAACCCTACAGTACAATATGTAATTCGCAAATTACCCCTGTACCGTATAGCTCTAACCCACATAACGTAACTTTCCGATTTGGACAGATTCTTCCGCTCCGCTTCGTTTCGTTTCAGCGTCTGTCCCTATATGGTATATGGGCCATACCATAACACAAATATATTTTATTTCAAATCAAATTTTAAATATAATAAAAAAAAGAAAAAAAGTTTTCCCAAATGGCAGTTTAAATTCTATCTGAAACTAAGAGTGATTAATAGATTGTGGCAGCCACATACCAACACATAAGTTTAACTTCAATTTCTAAAAAGATCAAATTTTTGCTCAAGTATCATGCTGAACTGTCAAATTATGTTCATATGCTTTTCCATTCTCAAGATTCTTCCTATTTTACAGCATAAAAAACTTGTTACTAATCTGATTTATTTATTGTTTTCAGCAAAACCTGCTGTAGATTGGAGCACCAGAAAGAGGATAGCACTTGGAGCAGCCAGGGGACTGCTCTACCTCCACGAGCAGTGTGATCCCAAGATAATTCACAGAGACGTTAAGGCCGCAAACATATTACTTGATGACTACTGTGAAGCCATAGTTGGAGACTTCGGTTTAGCAAAGCTTCTCGATCACAGGGATTCTCATGTCACCACTGCCGTCAGAGGCACTGTAGGCCACATAGCTCCTGAATATCTTTCTACCGGCCAGTCTTCAGAAAAAACTGACGTCTTTGGATTCGGAATCCTTCTCCTCGAGTTGATCACGGGCCAAACAGCTCTTGAATTCGGCAAATCCGCGAACCAGAAAGGAGCCATGCTCGACTGGGTAACTAACTCGGCTGCCCAAACAGTAAATAAAGTTGCCATTTTTCCTCACTCTGTATTTTTTTTTTTTTTTCAGGTGAAGAAGATCCATCAAGAGAAGAAGCTGGACGTGCTGGTTGACAAGGCGCTGAGGGGAAGCTATGACCGAATGGAGCTTGAGGAGATCATCCAGGTGGCGCTGCTCTGCACTCAGTACCTCCCCAGCCAGAGGCCGAAGATGTCAGAAGTTGTCCGCATGCTTGAAGGCGACGGACTTGCAGAGAGATGGGAGGCATCACAAAGGCTTGATCAGCCCAAGCTCAGGATGCACGAGCTCTCTTCTTCGGAACGGTACTCGGACCTGACTGATGATTCTTCGTTGTTAGTGCAAGCAATGGAGCTCTCTGGCCCGAGGTGATATGAAGAATGTTAATTTGTACAGGGGATCAGTCGGAATGAGTTCTGAATGGTGAGTCTTGAAGTGGTATTTAGATTTTTTGGGTGTTTTCTGTCATGTTTGTCTTGTTTAAGTCGTGGAAACTGATGATGGTTTGTGAAGTATTGATGAGAAGAGCTATGTAATGCAATGTATGGTGTGCTTAGGGAAGCAAAGCTTCAGCTTGTATGTTGAGAATTTTAAGGCAAAGAAATGCAAGAATCAACTTAGATCAAGAAGAAAACACTGAATTAGTAAAGGTTTGACAATATATATACATATATATATATATATATATATTTCGTATCGTGGGGGCGTTGCTCTTGTACCCTCAACCCACATAACGAAACTTTTCCCGATTGGACAGATGTTTCCGCTCTCAAGCTCCACTACGCTCACTTGCTCTGCTAGCTCGCTCTGTTTTGCTCCAGTATTTGTCTCTTGTCTGATATACGAGTTATTTCTAAGATTGTAGTTTGATTTTGTTCTAGTAAATGACATGATAAAATTGTGAATGTGATTAAATAAATATGGCAAAGATTATATGCATATATCTTACAAGTTTATATGATTTGGTGAGTTTTATGTTATAATTCATTATAGTTGTCGGTTAAATTCATCAAAAAAATATCTTAATAAGATATTTAATTAACAAAAATAGATAAGATTTTTTACAATTTGATTATATGAATAATACAAAATTAAAATTATTAATGAATGAAAGTAATTTTAATTTCATAAATTTGTAGAGATTGATTTATATAAATAACATATGGCTGATCATTGATTTAAACACATTCGTCTTTGATTTTTATTTCTTTTAATTTTTTTTTTACAAATGATGTTGTCTGTTTATCTAGACAATAAACTTAGGGACCTAAAAATATAATTAACTATGTTTCCATAATTCTTTCCATAAGAGAGTTTCGACCAAACTTAAATGTCAAAACATTTATATTAAGAAATAAATTCATGAATTATGGCGACATATCTCTAAAATTGAGTATTGTCTTTCATGTATCATAGTGATTATATTTCTTATACCTATGCATATTTCTTAATAAACAAATCCCATATTTATTGTAGGTCCTACTTGATGCTATTTTTCATACTAATAAAAATGTGGGAACTTCACAACTAAATAGAATTTCAATAATAGTTTCATCTTTACAATGAAATCAATCAAAATAGCCAAGACCCATGTGGTCAACAAAATCCTTGAACTTTTGTGACGACATGTATTTAGTCAAAGGATCTGTTTGTCACCTAAATTTGTCACCTTTTACAATGGGAGTTACACTTAATGAATCTTTCATTCTAAATCTCTCCATAACCTTATTGATATAAGTCTCCCGAGACAGACCTAACAGACTTTGAAATCTATATCTTTATATTTTTAATGTCAATCATATAAGAGGCATCACCCATATTTCTATATCAAAACTCTTAGAGAGAAATTGTTTCACTTCACACAATAAACTTTTATCATTAGTTACAAGTAAATTTTTATCCACATAAAGGATTAAAAATAAATTTTACTCTCACAAATCTTTAGATATATACATTTATCTATGACATTCTGTATAAATTCAAATGAAGGGATCACTTCATGAAACCTTAAGTACCATTGATGAGAGGCTTGTTTTAATCTTCTTAAGCTTGCACACCAAATATTCATTATCCATAGAAGAGAATCCTTCTGATTGTTTCATATAAAACTCCTCCTTTAGATATCCATTAAGAATATAGTTTTCACATCCATTTGGTATAACTATAAATCAACATGTGCAACAATTGCTATGATTATTAAGAAAGAATCTTTCTTAAATACATAAGAAAAGATACATTCTTCCTTATTTAGTGGATCATTTAACAACAAGTCTTGTTTTATTTTTTTCAATGTTGTCTAATGGATTGCTCTTTATTTTATAGACCCATTTGTAACCTAAGACTTTTGCATCATTGGCAACTCAAACCTTAATGAGTTAAGAATTTATCACATCTGTCATAGCATCAAACCTTAATTACATTATTTACAATTCATGGCTTGTATAAAACATTTCAGGATCATTTTCAGCTTCAATATTATAGTCTGGCTCTTGAAGATACACAATATAATCACTATGAATTGTTGATCTTCTTTATCTAATAGATCTTAACTTTGTAATAACTTCCTCTTGAGGAGTTAGTTGTCAACTGCATCTGATACCTCATGAATGTTTGGATATACTGATTCATTATCAATAACTCATGGACTCTCAGTTGTTTGTTGTCTAACACCCAATTAATTTTTAGGAGCGTTATATACAACAATCTACGTGTCACTTAAAATTGGAGGTTGATCATTTATATGTCCATTTTTAGGAACTAAGATTGGCAATAAATCACTCTCACTAATCAGGCCATTCTCTAGAAATTTGAATTTCTTGATTTCACAATTCTAGTATTTTTAGATGGATAATAGAATTTGTAACCCTTGGACTTTTCAACATATTCAATGAAATACCTACTTATAATCCAACTTATTCTGTTATGGATTATAAATTCTTGCTTCACATGGACATTCCCATAAGGGTACATGTTATAAACTCGATGTCCTGCTTTTCTCTAATTCAAAAGGTGTTTTAAGAAGAGCATCTTGGCCTCATTTTTGTATGAGATTTTTTCTTTTTTTAGGAGTCTAAGATCTAGCTTTAGGATTTTTCTAGTGACCATCTTAGATGACTAGTGATATGAACAAAACCAATATATAACTCCAAACAAATCTTCACTCCTCAGGTTTTCATATGCTAGACCCCAAATCTTAAACTTATAATTGGTAGAAATATGGTTTAGTCATTAAAGCCCAGTTCAGTTTCTGTAAGGGGGAAAGGCCCTAAGAGACACTTTGACCCTAAGGCTTAGGTTTCCCTTTTGGTAGCCCACGCTGCACTCCTAAGGCCTGATGACCCTTTTCTTAAGCTTAGAAAGAGGCTAATTGCATATGAAAGTAAGGTTTACCTCCTAATGGAAGCCCTAAAATTAAGATTGTAAAAATCATTAAATTAAACCCAAAATAATTTAAAAATAATCAAAATTAAATTGCCAAAAAAAAAATTAAATCACCAAAATTAACCAAAAAAAAATTAAAATTACCAAATATGAAATTTAAAACTTATTAAAATTCCCAAAACCATCAATTAAAATATAAATTTAAAGCTAAATATACCCAAATCAAAGTTAAATGTCAACTTTCATTAAAATATTAAAGTAAAAACTCTAAACATCCAAAGAACAAATGAACCCATAAATCTAAATATAACTAAAATTTAAGTAATACAAAACCAAATCAACTAAAAAAAATTGACATAAGAAAATTAAATCATCATTTAAACCAATTACCATTAGAAAATTTAAAATCAAAGAGATATCGCATTCACCAAATATATCAAATTAAAATTGAAACACTGATTAAAAATTTCAAAGCCTAAACACTAAATATCATGTAAAGATTACCAAAATTTCAAAGCAACAAATAAACCCAAAAATTAAATAAAAATTCATAAATAAACAAAGTAATTAAAATTGACTAATAAATTAACTATACCCTAGGAGGCTCAAAACCAAAATTAAAAACCTAAAATTTTAAGCTCAAATTTAAAGGCCTAAACCCTAATCAATGGTCCAAACCCAAAAGCCCATGACCCAAAGCCAAACCCTAAAACCAAGCCATAACATTATAACCCATTAAGAAAACATGTTAACCCATGAAATAAAATAAAATGAAATAAAATACCTCTCTCATCAAAGCCAGGCCGGACACTAAAAGATAAACCTATGACACTAAAATCCAAAGGAATTAACACTTGTCACCAAGGTCAACACATACCCAAATCAACTCATGTGAGACTAAGAACAAAGCAAATCCGAGTCTAGCCACCAAGATCAAGCTCTCCCTAATCAACCTTAGCTCCTCCCAAGCCACCTCGCTCACCATTGGAGCTCACATGCCAAAAATCTCAAAAGGTAGAAAAGCTTCCTCCCTCAGCCCAAAGCCTCTGCCTATGCTCTTCTTAGGCTCTGGTTAGTTCAGAGAGGATCCCAAAGCATCCTCAACGCTTTCCACATCCTCTCTTGGCCCTAAGAAGGCCAAACATGGGAGCTCTCTAGGGCAATCAAACTCCCCAACCACTGAGGAAAACCCTACTAGCTGCATTTAAAATCAAAGCCAAGGGGTCAAGCAACTCATCCCCACCATTTTCAGATCTTCCCTACCGCTACACCTCCCCAATTTCATCAAACAAAACCGTGGCTCTTCACAGCCCGAGCTCCTCATGGTTTGGTACCCAAACCTCTCAAAACTCAAAATTACCTTTCTCAAAAGTTCCACATAGCCCTAAAACCACCTTCCCGATCAAATCCCCTATGTCACACACTCTCTAGCTTATCACAACACCAACCCAAGCCCCCATTTGACCTGGAGTATACAAGGATTCAATTCCAAATCAAATTGAAGCTTAGAGGAGGTTCGCACAACTAAGGCAAAGCTTCTCAAAACATCCAATTGAGGCCTCCCCTCTTAGACCCGAGTAATGGCCGAAATTTCCTAAAATGCTATGGAGAATGGTCATTTGTGAAGAAAAATGTTAAATTCGTACATGTTGGACGTACAGTTATGACACTTAGACTTAGATGAAATTCTAGGATTAATTGTATTTCATTTATTAGATTCTGAGAAACTAGCCCTATGAAGTGTGTGGTGAGCGAGCCCCAACGCTTTGGGGATGATGAAGGAGCACCGTCTGATTTGTTCTTTTTAAAACGAGCATTGCTGATATAGCCAAATGGTGTAACAATGGAGGAGTAGATAGTGAATTGCAGGACACTTAAGTGCTTTCATGGAAAGGGCTGGCCAACCAGAGCATGTTTGGTGCTCCTTCGACAAACATGTTTGTGCATCTATATATGTATGTGTGTGTGTGTATGTGTGCGTGCGTGTGTGTGTGCGCGCGCGCACGTGTGTGTGTCTATATATAAATATATTATGTTGTGCAATAGCAGTTAAATCACATATAACGAATACACAACTTTTAAGCTAGTGTCAATTGGCTTGATGAGTATTTCGAGTGATTTAAGAATTGAAATATAAGCTTCATACTTATAAGCGTTTCATTTTTGGGTTGACCTTCCTTTACTCTATATTCCTTCAGGATAAACATAAATGTAAATAAAGTTTGTTAATACATCATGGGTTCAAAGATTCTAAAATTCTATAAATAAAGTCAGGGGGTTGGTGACATTTTGCATGTATCGACCATATTGACGATGAATCATACGTAACTTAGCGTAAAGCGCTGTTATGCATGCATCGTCAATGATGGGTACCATAGCAATCAATTTGGTTGTAATTTCTTTCTCGAACCTGGCAAAAATAACGTGCTTAACTTAAGAAGACTACTATTCAAGACAAATTTGGTCGATTTTGAGTCAATCTTGGGTTGAAAAATCAGTATTGAGTCAATTTCAGGTTAGCAGGTTATCTTTTAGTCAAATTTGAGTTGGTGCGTAAACTTGAGTCTAACTTGAGGCCGAATTTTTTGGGTTAAGTGGAGCTTTCGGGTCATATTTTGACACCTCTATTTGTAGTGACCAATGAAGTATAACTTAGGCCCATTTGAGTTAATTTCCAGGATATCTAACTTCCAATATATTGGTGAAGCATACCAATACTTGTGGAGACCCACTACCTTGAAATGTTATTATACCTTACCGATAAATATATTAATAGCGTAATTTATTATTTTTAATTTTTAATACAATCTTAATGGTTTAATCTTAAAATCTCATTTTAGTTATTTACACTAAGATATTATAACATAATTAAATCTATTTTGGGTATCATATTAAGTGTTTTAAAAACTTTAATTTTTGGAATGTTCAAATCAAGTATTTTCTTAAGTTAGGCCGGTCGCCAATCACTTTCTTGTTTTATATGAATTTTTAATACTTCGACTAGTGTACTCTTTTTTTGGCATGCTTAAAGTGTTCTATGTCCGAAAATTTATTCTCTTCCTAAACTAGATCTAAAACACCATCACCAAAATCAAGGGCTCATGGGTTCAACAACTTAGCTCGTGAAGGCAAAGCATATATTAGGTTGCGGTGCGAACGTATGTACGACTGAATGTGCTGGTAAACTGAGGTCCCGAATGAAGTTTTTGTTGTCGTACATACGTTTCACAGTATGTAATATTTTCTCGTACTCATGCTTTGAAATGAAGTTTTTTTTTTTTGTAGTTTCTCCACTCTCTTTAAGGAAAAATTATTCCATATGGACACTGCATGCAGAGATGCATGCGGTGTCCAATCTCCTCCATCAATCACCGCAAAGATGTATTCGGTGGTCTCCACTTTCAACTTTTTAAATTTTTTTTTTTTTTTTTTTGCTATTTTATTTGTAATATTTGGAGATCAGACATCGTATGGGATAATTTCTCTTCTTGAAGAGAAGAAATTAAACTTATAATAGCAAGTTTGCAGTGGATTAAGTGAGAGGATACCTCATATATAAACTATAAGTCAGCTTGGTAAAAAATCATATTAAAAAAAAACATAAAAGTTAATTGCTATTTATTTCAAATTCTTTATCATTTCACATTTGTTCATTTAGCTTGTATAGTTGAATGTTAGTATGGTTAATTTTGTACTACATGCTCTTGTGTCTTTATGTGTAGAATAACTTGTGCTTTGAAGTTAATTTACTATCATATCCATGTCTTTATAACCAGCATCAGTTTCTCCTTCCAATAACTTCTCTGCGAACTACCCGCATAACCGCAAACCGTGCCCATATATGAACATAACAGTCCTTCGTCTCCACCTCGTCGGCTCTGTGATCTACAAAAAGCTGCAGAAAAACTTCAAAATTTCTTCACTCTCATCCCCAAAATCTCACTTATTAAATTTTTAGTAGCAGCAGAGAAGCCCTTCTCATCACATTCTACCATCGAAGACGATATGGTTCACATCAGCAACAGCCTCACAAGTTTTCTCAACTTTCTCACCCTCTTCATCTCCATCCCCATAATCGGCATCGCGCTCTGGCTCCATTATCAAACCGCCTCCGACTGCGAACAAACCCTCCTATGGCCGATTATCATCACCGGCCTCTTTTTAATGGTGGTGGCGTTACTCGGCCTCGTCGAATCTTGCTGCAATGCGTCGTGTTTTCTATGGACTTATCTCTTTGTCATGTTTGTGATGATTGTCGGGCTATTCTGTATCACCGTATTCTCCATTGTCGTCGCCAATAAAGGAGTTGGTGAGGCGGTCTCGGGGAAGGGATATAAAGAGTATAAGCTCGGGGATTATTCGAATTGGTTGCAGAACAGGGTGGGGGATTTCCAGTCTTGGAGAAGGATTAAGAGCTGTTTGATTGATGCTAGGGTTTGTGGAGGACTTCAGCTTTTGGTCTTTCAAAATTCTAATGATTTGTACTCTCCAGCCTTATCCTCCATTCAGGTAATCATTACAATTTACAATATAAAATTATTAGAAAAATGATTTAATCGTCCCGATCAACATGATCTAACTCGATGAAATCGACCTAATTACAGTCAGGTTGCTGTAAGCCGCCGTTATCTTGCGGGTACAAACAAGTGAATGCCACAACCTGGAAAGTCCCAAAATCAGGTCCCAATTCGAATGATGCTGATTGCAAAACATGGAGCAATGATCAGAACATTCTCTGCTTCGATTGCAGCTCGTGTAAAGCTGGTGTTCTTGCAAATATAAAGGTACAGTGGAGGAAAATTGCAATTTTCAATGTCTGTCTCCTTGTGTTTCTGATTGCCACTTACTCAATTGGATGCTGTGCTTTGAGAAATAGTTGTAAAGATGACCAATATTTGCGTTATAATTAGATTCATTTAGAGTAGGGGGTTTGTGTTGATGAGTTCATGCAAGAAGGTGAAAACATGTGGGTCTCTTTTAGTTTATATTTTAGTTTTTATTTTGAAAATATCTTGTTGTTTGACAATATTCTTCTTTTATTTCTCGACTGAATTTCTTTTTTTTTTTTAAATTATTTTGATGATTTCTATCTCTTATGAGATCATTATTGGTGCTTCGTTGGGATTATAAAAATTCCGATTTAATTGGTCAATAATTTTCACTCAGATTAGAGTCAAGAATAGGGTTGTCAATACAACTCGTGTTCGACTCGTTCGCTAGGTTAGTGAGCCGAACACGAACAAATATTTGTTCATCTCGAATTGTTATTCATCAATTATATATTTTTAAAAAGACTACAAGGCTGCAAAGGTCTATAATCAATTAAAATTATTAATTACGAAAATAAATAAATAAATAAATAAATTAATTAAATATATATATAGATGAATAGTATTTTTTTTAAAAAGACTACAAGGCTGCAAAGGTCTATAATCAATTAAAATTATTAATTAAGAAAATAATATATATATTGATGAGTAGTATTTTTTTTTTAAATGACTACAAGGCTACAAAGATCTATAATCAATTAAAATTATTAATTAATAAAATAAAATAAAAATTATTAAATTTGATTCAAATAATGTTTTGATTCAAATAATGTTTTGATTCAAATAATGTTTTAATATAAACAATAATTTTAATATCTAGCCCCAACCCTTAACATCTTATGGTTACGTGATTAGAGTTGTCAAAACGATTCTTTCATAGTGAACAGCTCGTGCTCGGTTCGCTAAGCAAACGAGCAGAACACAAACACACTTTTTGATTGTGTTCCACTCGATTACACCTAGGCTCAACTCGTGTTCGACTCGTTTACACGTAGGCTCAGCTCGTGTTCGACTCGTTTACACGTAGGCTCAGCTCGTGTTCTACTCGTTTACACCCCTAGTCAAGAAGGATTGAACATACACACGACTAAATTCAATTAAATGAACTAGAATAAAATTTGTTTGAGATATTCTAATATTAATGTTGATTAGAATATGCTTAAAAATGCCATATTTAAATAAACTTTTGATTTGTAAAATAAATTTAAGATTTTTTTTTGAGAAATGTTTTACAAAAGAATCAAATATTAATATATTTATATAAAATCAATAAAGCAAAAGTTATTGAACTTATTTTAAAAAAGATGCAATATTTAAATAATCAATCATTATTTTAAATGACACAATTAAAAAAAAAAGTTAATAAATTAGAAACACCAAAGAGCTCATACAAGATAGACCATTCCAACCTCAAGGTTGGTAGCATGAGGCATGCTCATTGCATAACACGGCCCCCGTGAATTTCTTCTCAGAAAATCATATAAAGCAATGGCCAACTTCTTCACCAAGCTCGATCCACTCTTCGCCTTCATATACGAGTTCCCTGTAATGAAAGCCATCCCAGCCTCCCTCGCTTCCATCAATTCTCGCAGCTCCTCCCTCGCCGATGAGTCCAACTTAGGGCTCTTCGGCAACACAAAGCTCACCTTCTTCTTATTCATCAGAATACCCGGCGACCGGATTTCTCGCGCTTTAGAAGGACCCGGTAAGTCAACGGACTCCACACGTTCTCCGTTCTCCTCCTCCGCCTTCTCGCAGAGACAGATTCCGGAATCCACCATTGCCATCTTCTCATAATTTTCTTCCGAAGGCCTGTAGGGTTCAGCAGAATTATCTGACTTGATGAAGGCGGCAATTCTGCAAACCAGGTCCTCCTCAAACTCGATATCATCTTTCGGAATATCGTGATATCCGTAGCGGACGATGCAGCGGTAGATTCGGCACTCCCTCGGGCCAACCCGTCCGACTAGAAATCGCTCCTGCTGACGGACATGGGGAACGGGCACCGACTTGATGCAGAGGAACACAAGGACCTGGTACGTTATAAGAATGAATAAGAACTTGATGGATAGAGTCTGATTCGTCGTTAGGGTTATTCAAACTATTAGTGCGCGACAATAACGCCACATTCCACACTTGTTAAAGGATGCATATTTCATAACAGTAACACGGTGTGCTATTGCATCATTAGTATTTATGCATATGGTTTTTTTACTGGAAATGGACTAGTTTGTCATGCTTGACATTTAATATTGTTTATTATGCTAGTTGAATTTGTTATTTTATCAGAAAGTGAAACGATTGTATATGCTAAAGCATTGCAGATTAGCGCAAGGGGAATTAAGGTAAAGATACTGATGAACAATGAAATTATAATCTGATTTTATACTTTGATGGAACTGTTAAACGTACATAGACTCCATCTAAATCTAATTTTGAGTGTTTGCTAATTTGCTGTGTTTTCTGTGTTTGCTCGACCTTGAGGGCAATATAACTATGAAGGGAAGGGGGTTTTAAAATATTAGATACTAAATATAATGGGTAGTTTACAGGTTAATAGCTGGTATTAGATAAGTGATAGATGTTTAATAGGCTCTTATGAGCCTTGTAATTCTATAAATATCACTCCTTGTGGAAAATTAGAGAATGCAAACATGAATGAAGAAAATGTCATTCGCCTCCTCCATCCGGGCTTATCCTTTAATTACCCGTCTCTTCTCCTCCACTCCTTTATTAAGTTATCCTAAATTTTTGTTTTTGAGTTTTCAGTTTTCTGTGTTATACTGTTTTAGCTCCACAACATATTTCCTCAATAATTATACATGCTAACCATTGCAAGTTAGTTGGTGGTGGAAAAATTATGAATTATAATCAGATATTTGCATTTCATATAGATGTCAAATTTAGATAATCTCCATCTAGATCTGATCATTTCCAAAAAACAATAAAAGGAAAAAGAGAAGCCAACAAATTATTTCAGAAGATACCTGGTGAAATGCTGGGAGATTGGTAACAAAGTGGGAGAAGATGGCTGGGATGCCAGAAACAAGCTCAGAGTGAACGAGTCCAATCCCAGGAACACGAACAATTCCTAGGTTTGGGCCAAGGTTTAGGAGCCAGTTGATTGAAACCTTGTTCTGAAAATCGAACTCGTATTTCTCAAGAGTGCCGTAATGCCACACGTACATAATGATCATGAAGATGAAGGAGAAGGCTATAGGAACCCAAGCTCCCTCCCGAAACTTGATGAGGGCGGCGGAGAAGTAGAGAGCCTCAATTGTGCCAAAGAAAATGATGAAGCATATGGACATGAAAATGCTACAGCACCAGCAAAGAATGATTACTAGGAACATCAGGCAGGTGGTAACCAGCATGACGGTTATGATTGCCAGCCCTGTTATGTAAAAAGAAAAAAAAAATTGAGTTAAGGTGGGGGTGAAAAAGAAATGGAAATGATCGAACATGATAACAGGAAATATTGATCCATTTCCCAATCATCATACAATATTTTTGGTATTGTTCTGAATTAAACTACTAGACTTTGTCAATTTGTGGTCCAAGTCAACAAATATGTAAGGAATGCGATATCTGGAAAAAATATTAAAAGTTGGCAAGCAGGATGAAAACATCAAGGTAATTGGGGATATGCTTGAAAAAATTGCAAGAAAAAGATTCATTTGAGTAAATCATTAACTTGCATAATCGATAATGCACTCGAGTGGATTTATGGGCAAAGTAATTATTTCATTAAAAGATTAGAAACATCATCTTAAATGTAAACATGCTATCTGCATATGAATACTTCAATTAAAGTCGCAACAGAAATTGTTGAATAAAGCTGTTAAGAGGAAAAACTTGTCCTTACTAAAGAACTTTGTGCTTATAAAATAGGAATTGGAGAATACATGAGAGGAAATAAACAAATGCAAAACTATATTCCATTTAAAAAGTAAATCTTAACATAATTAGGGGGGCAAACGAGCCAAACACGAGCGTGTTGTTTAATTAATTAAAAAAATAAAATAAAAATTATTAAGTATTGGGGCAAGAAAAAAGAATCAAAAAGTGTGTTCGTGTTTGACTTATTTGCTTAGCGAGCCGAATAGGAGCTATTCACGAACAAAGAATCGTTTTGATAGCCCTAATCATGTAGCCATAAGATGTTAAGGGTTGGGACAAGATTTAAAAATTATTGTTCATATTAAAACATTATTTGAATCTAATTTAATAATTTTTATTCTATTTTCTTAATTAATACTTTTAATTGATTAGAAATCTTTGCAGCCTTGCAGTTAATTAAATTTTTTTAAAAAACTACTCATCAATTATATATATATATATATATATATATGAACATCACCATCCGACAAAACCTCTTTTGCCCTAGCAGAGCCCATTGCCTACACCTTCGCCTACTTCGTTGTGCTGTTCTCGTCGCGCTTCCTTTGTCCGCTCGTTGAAGGACGATTTCCGTCCGACAAGTGAGCATAACGTCGACGAAGGGGATCGCGCCTCGACTTCTTCTGCTTCGTCGCGCTTCGTCCTTCGTCCTTCGTCGACTTCGCGTCGTGCTGTCCTCGTCGCGCTTCATTCATCTGCTCGTTGAAGGACGATTTACGTCCGACAAGTTAGCAGAACGTCGTAGTGTCTCGTACATACGAGAAGGATCCAGATAGCTCCGACCAGTAAAAACCATGACTTGCTGTGATGGAGCTTCCTCATTCTTCGATTGAACCCGACAAAATCTCTTTTGCCCACGTTGTGGGTAATCCTTAGGGGCAGACTGCGGTTGTCTTCCCCTCAAGTTATAAGAAAAATCGTGATAATACAGGTGACTGCCCTTTTATTAAAAATGCAAGCAGGAAGAGTGAGAAAACAACACTCTTTTTCTCTGAGTCAGAAATTTCAATCCTGACTGACAAATTCAAATTTGTTTTCATTGGAAAATTTCAGTGGGAACACCTAACTATGAAAGTTATCAGAAAAAGTTTTGATGACCTCAAATTAGCAAGGAAGCGGAAAGTGAACCTCATGGATGTAAGACATGTATTGATTCAGTTAACCGTGTCTAAAAACTACACTCATATTTTTTCCAAAAAATATCTTAACATTGCTGGTAAACTAATGAAAGCTACTCAAGTGGTTTCCTGATTTTGACCCAAATCATGAACCTCTTCTGTACCAGTATGGTTTAGTCTACCTGGTCTGAAGTTGCACTTTTTTCATCATCAGATTTTTTACTCTATTGGTGTCATCCTTGGGGACCCTATGAAGTTAGATCTACTCGCTTTCAACCTTACCAGACATTCTGTGGACATAATACTTGTGGAAAGAGATATTACTTTGTCTAATGTTACTGAAGTCTGGTTGGGCACAACACATAATGGATATTGACAACAAATTGTCATGGAGCATAGACCTTTTTGATGTTCTCATTGTAAGATGTTTGGCATACTATTGATAAATACCACAAGCTTCATCCTAATTTGAAATCTAAAGATTAAGTGAATAAGGATGGATCTAAGGATATATCTGTACCACCTGGAGAGAAAGCTACCACATGATAGATTTTGGTGTTTGATTTCATTGCCCCTGCTGTTACTGTTACTGTGAATGATGTGATGCTAGTACCTTCAAACCCCATAGAAAACAATACTGATGGACTATTACCTACAAATGATAGTGTTCAGACTAATAATCAGCAGAGCCTCGTAGCTCCACTTCTTTAGGAAGTACCCAATGTAGAGACAACTCATTCTTCACATATATTAGAATGGCATTCCTTCCACTTCAGCTCTACCACCCCATCAGACTGATTCTTCGGATGAGGAATGACAAATCTATTTCAGGAGAAAGAAGAAGAATGGAGGCCGACTCCAACTCGGGAATATATTGGATGATACATTGGTTACTACTGACAATGACAATCATCTTACCAACTTATTAGCTTGCTCATTCCCTAGAACTAGAGGCATAGACAGAGGCAAGACCAAATTGGGTCGCTCTCTAGCCACCTAATACTATGTATTTCGACACTGTTAGACTTTTTTTTTTAGTATCTAATGTGTTTTCTGTTTTTTCTAGTTTTGAAATCTTTTATAGTTTTTTGTGTGGGCAGGGTGCCATGAAATATATCTATACATATCTGAACAATGAGCCGTTTTGACAGCCCTAAACATAATTACCTATCTGAAGCATCAATCCCCCCCATCCTCTCCCTTAAATTGGAAAATATGCCCATCTATCAACTCTAGCTAATTACATAAATGAAAAAATACAAAACTATATGAGATTCAAACAATTTTTAAATCTCGCCCCAATCCTTAATAATTTTTATTCTATTTTCTTAATTAATTATTTTAATTGATTATAAAACTTTATAGCCTTGTAGTCAATTAAATTTTTTAATAAAATTACTCATCAATTATATATAACTATATATATATATATATATATATATATATATATAAATAATGGATGAGTAGTATTTCGAGCAAAAACGAGCCGAACATGAGCTGTTCACGAACAATGAGCCGTTTTGACAGTCCTGAACATAATTACCTATTTAAAGCATCAATCCCCCCTTAAATTGGAAAATACACCCCATCTATCAGCTCTAGCTAGTTAAATAAATGAAAAAAAAAAGCAGGTGTTTTAGATATTTGATAAAAATGTCACTTAGAACATGAAATATGATGAATAACAACATCCTTGGGGAGCACAACATCCTGAAGAAGTAACGAAAAATCAAATTGCTAGCAATATAGATGGAAATATGATTATCACAATGCAATATCATAAGCTAAATGTAAGAAAATCAAATTCTTCTAAATAGCCTCTAATGTGGAACATCTTGCTGAATCAATGTGGGGCCCACAATCACAAGAGGCAGACCCAAACTGAGCCCATAAGCACAAGAAATGGACCCAAGCTGTGTCCCAAAAGCATAGAGATGATTATTGCCCCCAATAAAGATAACAATATGATGTGCCTAACTTCCAATCATCTATTGAACCAACATAACTGACATTGGCAAATGTCTTAACAATCCTGCGCTTAGTTTTACAGTATAGCAATCCTCATCAAACAGATTTCTTAATGCATTTAAGGAATCCGATAACTGCAATCATGTTCACTCGTTGTGTGGAGAGCAGCGCTGTCCGCGCTTCAGCGTGAGAAACAAGCATTCAACATCGTGTTGGCTTGCGAAAGGTAATGCGCTAGGGAGGCCAAGCAAAGTCAAGTTCAGGACTAGTCTCATGCGAAGCAGGGAACCTAGTGTGTGGCTTTATGTTAATTAAAGTTAGAAAACATTGAAGAAAAAATATTTGAATTTGATATCGAGGATAGTGATTGACTGTGACGTAAAGATGTTAAGAGATAAATGAAGTTAAAGTTTTAAATAGATTAACTTAAACTTAATATTTATGTAAGTATTAATATGATATCATATTGATTTATGACAGAAACTAAGATTGGAGAACCATTGATTGTAAGATATGAAGAGTCGAATCTTCAATCTCACAGAAGAGAAATAAAGAGATAATAAAATGTTAGTGTTTATTTAAAATTTTATTTATGGTTAATTTAGTTTTAAGTTATTTAGGTATTAATATTAACATATTTTTATGAATTATAATCAATTGAACTAATTAATAAATTGTCTGCAATAATATCCCATTTTTAAAAAATCATTAATTTATAAGATATAGTAAACATCATCTAGCAAAATACATAAGATCATCCAACTTAAAATAGTGATAAAAATAAAAGTGATTAAATATAGAAATCACATAGCCTTATAACTATTTTCAATAGTAAATTTCCTCCTATAAACAAGCTCTCTTTTATCAATCACATCAATCTAACATAACTTTTCTTGAAAGAAACAATTAAGTAATGCATTAAGTTTATAATAACATACTGAATAAATATAATTTTAACATGCATCAAATTATTTTGCAAGTGTTTAATCATAAATACTGAAAATAAATATTCTGATTAATCTATAAAATAAAATTTACATTTTTATTTAAAGATATTTACTAAATTTATTTTTTTTTAATGGTAAGGTACAATACCATTTATTTTTATTTTCGTGTACATATGCAATAACATTCCCAACTTGTACTATGAGGTTGTAATTTTTTAATGGCTTAATCATGTACATTTCATTTAAATTATGCTTACTTCATTCAATCATTTGAATTTATATATTAATTTTTTTTTTAAAACAAAACAAATGTATAATTATTTAAATCATTAAAAAGTCATTTCATTTTCAATTATTGTCTTTCAATTATAAAAATACTTTCAAGTCTCTAAAAATGAAACAAAATTTTAAAATACTACATGTCATCTAAACTTATCTTTTCCATAATTTCATTATAATGTTATTTCTTGAAAGTGCTCTAACTTTTTAAGAAAATAAATTTATTGCATATAATATACTAATTACTAAGTTTGACTTTACTTGCTTATCTCTTTCTTTTTGAATTTTTTTTTCTTGCCGTAACACTTAACATCATTATATATATGATTAGCATTTGCTAATTTATATTTTTGTTCAATTACCTTAATTTCTCTAATTATGTTCACAAATATTTTATTACAAGATTTTTAAGTATTTATTTATTTTTTAAGGAAAAAGACACATAATCAAAGCTTACATCACTTGCTCATATTTTTCTTCTACCAAATCAAATATCTCTTTCAATACTTTTAATTATCTCACCTGATTATAATTCATAACAAATTCTAATATTATTACCTAATAATTTAAAATTAAATTGACAATAAATAAAATTCCAAATAAGCACTAACATTTTGTTGTCCATTCTTATTTCTTCTCTTATGTGAAATCGGCGATTCCAATCTCCTTATCTTACAATCATTTATACTTTATTTTTGTTTTCTGTCATAAATTAATACTATATTATATTAATACTCTAATTAACATTAAATTTAAATTAATCAATTTAAGACTAAGTTTATTTACCTTTAATCTTTTCCTTCATGGTCAACCACTCTCCTCGATCTCAAATTTTAATATTCATTTCTTCAATTATTCCTGGCTATACTTAGCAAAATCCCAAATAAATATGAATATTAAATAATATTAATTGAACTTTATTATATTATTTATTTTAAAGAAACAATATGAACCATAACCTTTACCTTAAGCTCGATTCACCCCTTCTCCCGCACGCAAACTTCCTGGTTCACACAAGGGGAGCCCCAGACTCGACTTCGTCTTTGCCTCCCGAGCACATTATCTCCCAAATGCCAACATCATGCCAAATGTTTAGTTCTCACGCTATAACACTGATGATGCTACTCTTCACCTACTAGTGAATATGACATAGGCTTCCTCTCCTCAACTCATCAATATTGGTATCATAGTCTTCTGTTAAACATGTTGAAATCACTCTTCTCCAAGCCATCATTCAAAAAGTTCTAAAACCCTCTTCCCTCACTTGGATTTGACTCTCACTCTCTCTGTCTGTTTCCTCCGATTAGAACGAGAGTAACTTGTTCGCCCCCTAAAGACGAAACTGTCAAGACGGTTTCGTTCCCGTTTGAATCAACCTATCAATACAGTTTTTCTTCATAGTTATTATATGAGATGTATTAGGATTACTAATTTGACGAAAGATTCTATTGCAAGCATATAATGAATGAAATTGAATATATATGAATTCTAAAATATTAACAGGTACAACAACAAGCCTTTATCTCATTAAATGGGGTCGGCTACATGAATCCACTTTCTCCATTGTATCCTATTGAGCGTCATATTTTCATTTAATTCTAATAAATTACATGCCCAAGTCTTTTTAGGTGCCCAAGTCTTTTTAGGTCTACCTCTACCTTTCTCGAATCTAAAATAACTAGTCTCCTAACTGGATCATCAGATGGTTTACGTGTAATGTGACCAAACCATCTAAGACAACTCTCTCTAATCTTGTATGCCACTTGAGCTACACCAACCCTTTCACGGATAGATTCGTTTCGTATTTTTTCTCTAAGTGACAAGTCACTCATCCAGCTAAGCATTTTCATCTCAACAACACTCAACTTTGTTTTATGATTATCTTTTAAAGGCCAACAATCCTGGCCATAAAGCATTGAAGGTATCACCACCATCGTATAAGATTTTCCTTTCAAGTCTAAGCAGTACTTTTCTATCACACAATAGGCCCGATGCATTCCTCTACTTCAATCAACTAACTTGAATTCTACTGAAAACATCCCCATCTATATCACCATCACTTTGAACAATAGACCCGAGATATCTAAAACGTTCACACCTTTTACAACTTTACCATTGGACCTGAGAAGTGAACTTTATTTCTAGTAGAAAGTTTTGAATACAAATAAAACTTCTAATCTACATTTGAGTGGATAAATTCATTCAATAAGAGAATAATCATTAATAACAGTAACAAGACTTCTAAACTTGAGTTAGTTCAAAATAGACTTGGATCCCAAAGATCATAATGAAAAAGTTCAAATGGGATGGTACCATGAGGTGACGTAGAAGATGGAAAAGATGTTCAGATATGTTTACCAAGCATTAAGCTCAAATTTTGAAAAGTAAAAAAGAGTGCATTGCCAAAGAAAATGTGATGGTAGGTGACCAATATGATAGTCATTGGAAATAAGTAATAGTGAAATGAGTTGAGGATACCCTAAGTTTTAAATAGTAAACTCCATTAATTTTAACACCTCCAACAATAATCTTCCTTGCATTGAAATCCTAAAAATACAATGGAAGAGATAAAATGCTACCGAATAGTTGTCATTTTTGACAAGACAATTAAGGATGAGTAAATTGACAATAAATTTATAAAGATATGACATAAGGAAGAGATAAATTTATGACATAGTATGACCTCTGTTTAAAGATATCACTAGTCACTGCCCTCATTACTACAACAACAACAACAACAATAAGTCTTTATCCCACTAAGTGCAGTTAGCTACATGAATCTTTTTTCTCCATTGTGTCATATTGAGTGTCACATTTAATTCTAATAAATCAAGATCATTTTTTATACAACATGCCTATGTCTTTTTAGGTTTACCTTTAACTTTCTTAAAATAAATCGAATCTAAAGCATCTACTCTCTTAATTGGATTATCAGATGGTCGACATTATTCTTTTACAAAGAAATTGATAAATAAAAATTATTCTCTTGCACTAGAATATAATGCTAGCTATCAAAGAACAAAAAGCCAATACAAAGAAACTATTTGGTGATAAATCATTATTTTGGTTGTACAATGAAAGCATGCTTCAACAGCACTACTCTCCACACTTGAAAGTATTTAGCTTCATTCTTGTGTGCTTCAATTGATATATTTATACCAATCCACTATCAATAAATCGATAATCTCATTTTAGAATCACATCTTAAGCTTAAGGGTCGACATGCCATTCACTTTACATGATACAACTTAGAAAGGTTTGCATACATATCACATAATTTTTATGTAATTAGATATCTAACAACTAAACTTCAATTTTTACACGCATCAAAATATGTATTTCACTTTTTAAAAGTAAAAATAGTGGTATTATTTATGTGATATGAAAGATTTAGGTGGAATAAACGTAAAAAGCAAGAAGCTAGATTTGTAAATACATACGAATTGGGTGAGTGTATGTAGAAGCCCCTACAACTTAAAAATTGAGGAGGAAAGATAATTAAGTAGAAGAAGCGACAGCTCAAGTAAATATGATAATGTACTACTTATATCTTCATACCTGAGGCATTTCCCAATCGCTTTGTATCTCTGAAACCAGTTGTGACGGCCAAACACAACAACATTAGGATCCAGTTGATATCTGGTATGTATATTTGGCCACAAAATCTGGATGATGTGTGCACTATCTTCACCCTTGGAAAACATCCCAAAGCGGAACATTGTTTAATTATCGAAAAGGTAGCACTAATAACAGCTTGGCTTCCCACCACAGCTGCAAGTATAGCTATAGCCAGAACAGGCCACCTCAATTTCTCTAAAAAGAATAAAAAAAAAGTTATTTTATAAGCTTTATGCTAAAATGAAATTATATGAATCAAAAGAACAGTTAGTATGCCTACCTGGGACAGACACATAGAATCCGATTCGATAATCACTTTCAATAATATGGTGTTGTGAGAGATAAGCAGCTTGCCCCATATATGCCAGGATCAATGCTGGATACACCATAGATGTAAAAGCAATCTGCATGAAGGAATAACATATTCGAGAGAAATCAATAGATATCTCAATCCAAGACTACAATTTGTAGCTTCAGAAGTGAATTTCTTTAAATATTAAGAATGTTCATGTTTAATAAAAAGAAAAAAAATGCAGGAAAATAAAAAGGAAACTATATATATTCATCTGTACAAGAATAAGATTTTTTATAGGCATGCTAAATTATCCTTCAAGTAGTTAATAGCTAAGGAGAATGATAATTTGAAGAATTGGTGGCAACAAAACATCAGAAGATTCTTCAAAAAGGTTGTAGAATGTAGAATATTCTAGTGTTATCATAAATGTGAATAACCTAACCGATCATTTACTCCATTGTAGGTTAACACTTACATAGTTGCATGGAGTGCTATTTGAATCAAGAAAGAAAAACAAGCAATAATTAAAAAAAAGGCTAAAAATGATAATATTTTTCATTTTATTAGTATTATCTTCATTTACAGTGTATTTTCATGTTAATGACTCTTATAGGTGATTCAATTAGTGTAGATGGTTGTAAAAAGAGAATATTAATATTGATTGTTAATATGCATGGCTTTTACCCTAGTGATGGACTATTTAAATGGAATGCCTGCGCAACACTACTCCATAAGAGTGATTCCAAGGACTCCAGGTACATATTGAAAGAACTTGCCCAGCATGATTCTAGTAATACGAAAGCCTTCTCCTCTTGTCCGAGTCATACTAATTACAAAAACCTTGACGCCAAACAAAACAAGAAAACTGTTAAAAAAAAAAAAGCAAAACATAATCACAGGATAATAAACATAAGACCTCCAGTTTAATTCATAAATAACGACATATCACATTCAAGAAGAAAATAGCGGAAGTATACTATGAGTGATGAAATTCACAGGGTTATAAGATAATACAAAACCAATTTAGCTAATCACAGAGATAGAGAACATTATCTACTAAATGGGGACAATTCCTGACCTGTATAGATAACTGAGAAAAATGACCCAAATCTGCAAACATTGCCTCAGAGCCTACATAACATAACAGCAAATTTGAGTCCATTAAAATATGGCATGCATGGCAACAAAGAAATTTAACTTAACATACCTGTGATGCATAAAAGAATTCCTCCTAAGGACATCCATCCTTGCCTTCGTGTCTTCTTCAAGAATTTGTACATGTAGTAGGGAGATAGTGCATGATATATTTGTGGATTCCAATAGAAAATGTTATAGATGCCAATCATACTGATACACAGGAGCCATGTTGTAACAATTGGTGCAAACAAAAATCCGACACGGTGAGTACCAAAATGTTGCACCCCAAACAAGCAAATCAAAATAAGACATGCAATGGGAACTTCAACATCTGCAAATCAGAGATGTTTGAACATGTGTTAACATTGTTTATAAAAACTTCGTGTTAAGTGTCCCATCAAAGATGAATACAGATTTACTGAAACATGCACACGGAAGAGATGAGTTCTGCATCGTTAAAGCATAATCAAGAAAATCATTGTGTTTTAGGTCCAGTATACTTTCCTTCGTTGTGCATCATAAACATCACATTCTTTCAATAATTTATGATCTTTGTTTGTTCAAATCTCAAGTACTACTGTTTTTTTGAGATAATCGTATACTTTAAACCTGCTCTTCCCATTTTTTTTAGTATCAAGTGACAGCATGCTTCCAATCTTAAATACGCAATGACCAGATAGTTTTCCATTTAAAATTCAATGGGAGTATAGCTCTATTTGGTTTGATCCAGTTTAACAAATAAGGTTTGCAAAAGAATCATTAAAAATTCATCAATGAATTACATGAATGACACCCCATATCATACTATGCAAGATATTATTTGCTTTGTCTCATCGCAACATTCCATATCATGGTAAGTCTCAAGACCATATCCTTTTCATGTAACTTACCAAGATGTCGCTCAACCTATAGGTTGCTCCAACACAAACATGCTTTAGAGTTTTCAAAGAAATTCCAATTATCACACAAGATGTCGCTAGGCCTAACTCTTTAATTATATTGGCCCATAATTGTTTTCTCCCATCACAATTTGTGACTTAGTTCTTTCATATGCTCCCTTTTTCCTAGAAGTTTTCCATCATAGAATCCGGCTAGGTGATGTCCTTGTTTTGGGATATTTCCAGGGCAATCACACCTCAACTCCATCGAACAACCCTCTTTAAATTCAAAATGTCACAAAATGTATGCAAACACATATGTACTCGTGTATAAAATGAAACAAAATTTTTTCTCAGCAAGAAAGAACTATTATTGCATTATGCACTGATCATTTCTGCCAATTGAGAAAAGGCCAAAATTTGATGAATTAACAACGAAGATTTACATACATACCACCCAATCTTATGTATTTACACATCTAAAACCTAAACTTTAATTTTTACATACCAACTTAACCATACATGAAAAGCTGTATTTTAACTTTTAAAAGTTAAAATGCTGGTATTTTTGATGTGGTATGAAAGATTAAGGTAATATTAATATAATAAGTAAAGCTTAGTTGTTATATATATAAATACATAAGAATTAGGTGATATGTATGTAAATATTCCAACAAAATACATTCTAAACACAAATTCTGAAGACTAGAACATGAAAAGAATCTGCCCATTTTAGAAGAAATTATTCGCATAAATGGTTTGCCAAGCAAAAGTACAAGCATAAACTTCAGTGCATGCATAATCAAATAAGATGGAAATAAAATCCTATAAATTTACCAGGCACAAAGAGTTAGCTATTTCTAACACATTTGCATCTAATGATCTAACAAACATCAGCAGCTTTATGCCACCCATCTGGAATCGCCTCTAACAAAACTTTTGCCACTCATCTCTGTTGACTGCAGCAAGCGACAATATATAGTTTGCCTGATATTGTCTGAATGATAAATTGAAAATGGCAGATTGATAACTGCATATTAAATGCTAAGGAATAAATGAAGATTCAAGCTATTAAAGTCAGAACATGAAATGCAGAAATAAACAGTATATGCAGGTAGTACAACATTGAAAATGTAGTTACATATAAGTGATATACTTGGTAGGTAACCATTTCTTCAAACCTTTACATATAACATTCAAGCTATTACAGTATATGACAAATAATCATTAGTACTTCATAAACACCAAAATAAGCAAAAAAAAAAAAAAAAAAAAAAAAAAAAAAAACCAAGTATCAAGTAGGAAAAGATCCAAATCTAACAAAAAACATCCATCCCAAAAGCAACACGAATCAAACCAAACATTAATAATTGTTAGCATGAATTACTGATTAACTAAAAATTCCATACCCCACTTCACAAAAGTAAAAGAATCTACATGCCAGCATATGAAAGTCCCCCACAGGATGTTTCAGATAAGGTATCCATATGCCATGAATATACCCAACAAATTTGGAAAGTTCTCAGCCATAAAATCAAACAATTTCTAGCTTATTTCACATAATCAGATGCTGTGCCTAACAAGATCAGAAATTCCATACATTTGTGCTGCTCCTTGGACATTGAAAGCTCCAGCCCTGAGACAGCTGAGAATACTGTCAAACACAAGCCACCATATCCAAGTTTAACAGAACTGTCAAATAAAGTCAGATTTCACAACAAACAAACAAAAACAGAAATTGAATCTACCTGAAAGTGAAGGAGTGAGCACACCATCACCAATAACCATGCACGTCCCAATCAGCGCCAGAACCAAAAGTAGCTGTCGCAGAACCCGGTGCTTCTCCATCAACATCTTCAACCACACCGCCGCCGCAACCCGATCTCCGACGGCGGTCTCTCCAGAACCGGAGCCATGTTCACAGCAGATGCCGTCAGTCTTCTTGTAAGCAGAGAGCTCCTCGTCGGCGATTTGCCCATTGGGCAGTAAACCAACGCGAGCATGGCGGCAGAGAAGAGAGTACAGCGCAAATGTTCCGCCTTCGCCATTGTCGTCAGCTCGGAGGACTATGAAGACGTACTTGAGTAGAGGAATGAGGGTCAGCGTCCAGAAAACAAATGAGAGAACTCCAAAAATCTCCTCATTGGTTTCTGAGTGCTCGATATCTTCCGCAAAAGTGCTCTTGTAGACATAAAGTGGGGAGATACTTAGGTCGCCGTAGACCACTCCAAGGCTCTGGTACGCCAGCGTAAGCACCGTCCTCCATGACTCCCTCTGCAACTCAAATTTCAATAATTCCCAATCCTATACGTATTAACGAAGAAGAAAACCCAACTCACCTTGATAGAATTCGCATAGATTCCTCCTTCGAGATCCATGAATAGGATATCAAACTCCCATTTTTCTTTCCAATGTTAGGCGAAATGGAAATGCAAGACTGAAACTGAAATCGGTTTCTTCCAACAGTACAAACAAGATGCGGGAGGAAAGAAAGCTTCTTTACATTCCAGCACTAATCAGTATCGATTTCCCGTCGATAAAATAAGTACAAGATTGTCTTGGAATGAGAAAGTTGGAACTTTTCGGGTACGGAGTGAGGAGAAGAACTGAAAATGAAGCAGTTTTACTGTTACTGGAAAGTTCTGCAAACGGACATGAAAAGGAGAAGGGTCCAGAAGCAAGAACAAGAGGAGTGGGGTTACAGGTTGTTGAGGTGGCTGGGAATCGTGGAGGCCAGTTGCTTGGGAAAGTGGAGAAGAAGAATGTGAAAAATAGTGGATTCTGTGATGGGACTGTAAAGTATCTATTTATAAATGAAGGGGTTGATCTGCTCTGCTTATTCTCTGTTACCGCATAAAAGAACTATTGGAGTCTGCTTGTCCAGGTCAAAGTAATCGTCAGATTAAATTTATAACTATCGAATGGTGGCATTTTAAGGTCAATTTCCCATGCCTAAGCGTAAGGATTAATTGAAATTAGTTAGCAGAGTATAAAACAATTCATTTATGAGCAATTCTCAGCTTCAGCTTAAGAAAATTAAAATCTGTAGCCCATTCTCTCACTCTTCTTATTTTTGCACTATGAGTTCATTTATGAGCAACTCTTAGCTTAAGAAAATCAAAAGGGTTACCCTTTCTCTCACTTTTTGTTATTATCTCCTTTAATGCATTCATTAAAATTTGATGAATTTTTTAAAGTCCATGTTATTAAAAAAGGTCTAATAAAATGGACATGATAAAAGTCGATTGATTTTGACTTTACTGTTGAAAATGTTGATGGAATCATAAATCAAAGATTTAATTCATGAAACACTAGATATTTCATGTCAAATCACGAAGAAAAACAAAATTGAAGCGTGGAAAGATATAATGATTCTTGTTGTCTTATTCTTATGAGTTGTGTTTTCTAAATTGATGTTTGTTCTTATGGATACGAAGATAATCACTCATTAGTAATTATTTCTTACACATTTGCACTTTTAATTTTATCCATCATAAAATTTGAAAATACAAATAGGTCTTCACACTTATATTTTTTACCATAGTTTAAAAATTTAATATTCATAAGCCTATACTTTATTATATCTTATTAATTAGACTTAATTTTAAGATAACATAAATAATGCATTTATTTATATATATTAGCGCACATAAAATAAATAATTATTTATTTTTCTAACAATCTCCCACTTGAGTCGCATATGTTAATTTATAAATGTGTTTAACTTTGTGAGCTCAAACTTTGCTATCAAGTATCAGGGTTTTCGTTAATAATCTCGTCCATTAATTATATCAATATAGAACCAAAGCGGCTTTCATCACAAGTATAACATGACTAGACCCATCAATAATTGCATATCAATACAATCAAATAACATATATTAAATATGGATGTGTAGCATGAAACTTATATGCAATGTGATCTATACATGCCCAACTTCAACTAGTCCAAACTGAAACTTTAATGAGATAAAAAAAAAAAAAATCAAAGCCAGAGTGAAAAATAAATTGAATTCTCCATTTATTCAGGAAACACACAATGTCTATATATTTAAAAGAAAATAGCATCCAAATACAAACTCCCACTAAAATCATATACTATCAAGTAAATGAACCCCTATATGTGCAGTATGCTCATGAAAGACCTTGGGTGGAATTCCTTTAATGAGCAGATCTGCAATCATGGAGTTTGTGTCAATGTGTTTTACAGATATTTGACTACTCTAAACTCTTTCTTTAACAACAAAGTACTTAATCACTTTATATTTTGATTTTTAAGAACCTCTGTTGTTATTAGAATACATAATTGCTAATTTATTGTCACAAAATAACCTAAGTAGTTTTTCTATACTTTTTATAATTCATAGCCCAATAACAAAATTTTTCAACCATATTTCATGAATGGATACTTCGTAATATGCCACAAACTCTACTATCACGATGGAAGAAGCTATTTGTGACTGCTTTGCACTAGTCCAAGCAATATCTCCTCTAGTAAGTATATAAATATAGCCCGAAGTGAATCGAAGACTATCATGACGTCCACCAAAATCTGAATCTAACTAATCAATGGTCTCAAACTAGTCTGACTTTTTATGTGAACATGTAATCTTTCGTTCTTCATATATACCACATAACCCATTTTGATGTTTTCTAGTGACCATGTATAGGGTTGCTCATTTATCTATCCAAAATTCCAAAAATGCATGTGGAATTTGAGGCTAAGGAAATAGATAGTAATCATTTCAAGCAAGCATTGATTATCTTGTTAACATAAATAACTGTACCAGTAAAATGTAAATTTAAAGAAAGACTGAACTGATTATTTTCAAATGAACAAGTATATTCAGATTTATCCAAAGTTGAAATAGAAATTGAATTTCATCTAAATGACAATATAATAAAAGTATATTTCAAATCCAAATAGTAACCAATACATAATAATAATCTAAATGTCATATAGCTTTAACTTCAACTCTTTTAGCATCACCCACATGGATGAATCTTTCAGCATCAATTGGCTTTTAGTAACTTAGACAACCTTGCATAAACACATTTATATGAGTAGTGGCACCTGAAGGAATTCACCATGTGTGTTTTGACACTAAGGTTAAATTAGCTTCAGAACAAATCAAATTAAGAAATGCACCTATCTTTGCTTGCCAAACTTGATATCACTTATTAAAAATTATAATATTTCTATTTTTTATGTGATATGAAAGATCTGGAGGGCATAAATGCACGAAAGTAAAATTTAAGTGTTATATTTATTTAAATACATAAACAATTGGATGGAATGTACCCTCAAAATGAAATATGAACAACTTATATGATAATTTAAGATTATGAATCCGCAAAAATTTAATATTTTTCTTTCATTTAATTTTACTCAAATTGCAAGCATCAAAATCAAAGCTTCATGATAGCTAAATCTCAATGAATCGGGCTATCTAATTTAATAAATGGGCCGCCCACATATTTAAAGGGTGCTCGAATCACTATAATTAACCAGCGGTCCACAAAAGAGTGACAGATAATTTTTACTGTCGACTTTAATAGAAATGGATTATAAGATTTTTATTATGGAAACTATTTTAATATTTTTATATAAATAGTTTAAAATTTTAGAGTAGATTAAAAAAAAAAAGCTCATATAACTAAATTAAAATATATAAGTTTTTGCATTAATCTTTTTTTATATAAATAGAGATTTATTTAAAAAAAGATTTTACTATTATAATTTTTATTTCAATTTTTATAGACACTTGCAACCATGCAAAGCATAATTAGGACTTATTTAGCATAGCAAATTGTAAAAATAGTTTTAGAAATATTATATATATATATATATAGAGGAGGGGACTGAGAAGGATTATATATATATATATATATATTGAAAACTATTAAAAATATTCTTATAGCCAATACACTAATAAATTAGGTTAAAAAAGTTATCTCTCATCTTAAAAAAATTTTAAATACTATAAAAAATATAGTCAAATAAAAACTAAAAAAAATGAGTAAAATAAAATAGTAAGAGAGGGGCTCTTAATAGATAGGATTCTGTATAAATGATAGTTTTTATTCAAAAAAAAATCCAACAACATATAGTCAAAGGCCGATTTATTTTAAAATTTAGTTAATTACACTATTGCTCTTGATTGATTGTCTTTATTCCTCTTCCTAATTGTAATTTCTTTCGAAGAATCTCTCATTGATATTATGAATTCATACATTAATCTTGTTGAGACTTGCTCATCCTCATGGCCTTGGCATTGTGCCTACTCAGTCTTCCACACACAAGTACCCGGTGCCAAATACCAATTAATTAATCTGTATTGTTTGTAGGGTCTTCGCCCAACCAAGCCTATTAGCCTAAACCTTATTAGTGGGCATAAACCAACGTCGGCATTCGACAATGCCTTAGCTCGACTTAACTAAATATTGGTTGGGATATATGTTGCTTATCCTATATCAAAGGCCTTAGCTTTCACCTCTAAATAAAGACTTAAATGCAAGATGCAAGTATGAGGCTCATACATGAAAATGGGCACATAGTTTTAGACTATTCTTTGTTAAGTCTAGCTCTAAATTTCTTCATCCCTCTCTTCATGCACTCATGTTCATTTTGATTCATTCTTCCTTCCAAAGAACCCAATCAGATCCCTCATAAAAATTCTTTTGGTAGACAAATTCCTTCCATCCATCACAATTTATCCAATAATCTCAAGAAATTTTCAGCCTATTTTTAATCAAACAATATTTTTCTATCCAATATTTAATTCAGTCCTTCCCATCTTACAACTTCAAGGCATCTATACAAACTGAAATTCTCAACCTACTCCATTTATCAGCACTCCAAAAAAAAGTCAAACAACTCCTGTTCATCTGGATATTACATTAAATACAATTATTTTACTACTAAAAATGATTTTCCATATAATTTAAGCCAGCAGGCAGCACAAAAGAGTAAAGCAGAATAAACAAACATCCATATGTCAAACAAGAAGTTATGCCATTAGTAATAAATCATAGCTGTGGTGGCTTGCCTATGTCATTAGTACAATATCAAACAAATAATTCAAAACAACAACAATACTATAATAATATGGTCAGGCAGGTAGAGCCTTCTGATGTGCCAACTTCCAAATTATCATAATTTAAAAACCTTTCCTACTAATACAAGTAAACTAAATAAGTTGGGATTCCATTTGGAAGTCTATCAAACATCAACCTGCTCAGTTCATAAAATTAGACTGAAAATTCCAACCACCGGTTTTATTACCAGTTGAAATAAGCATGGTTCTATCAGATCCTGGCAACCCTTCTCTCTCTTTTTCTCTCTATCTTTTGTGCAGAGCTGAAGTGGGATTTTCATGAAGTCCAAAGGCTTGGATCTTACCAATGGGAGGACTGGAGCATTTACATTATTTTCTGTTTTTAAGTTTATTGTTCTCTCCTCTGTTGCATTCGTCTTCCTCAATATCTCCCTCCCTCTCTATACCATCGTTTCAACTCGTTATAACTTCAGCATAAAGCAACCAATCCTCAAGTTTGCTTCTTCTTCTTCTACTTCGAACTCTGTTTCATTTCCTATATATCAATCTAACTATTCTAATAACACAAGACAAGGAGCTTCTTCAACAACACCTTCTGCAAAGCCCTCAGCCAATTCTAACTCCATATCTTCTCTGCTTCTTCTTCAATCACCAACTGTTAAATTAGTACAGAATTCTTCTGCGGCTGCTTCATTTTCTAATGACAAATTGAATTCTTCGGTTAAAAAGCAAATTGGGAGGCAGAGGATATTGCAGAAGGGATGTGATTTATCTAAAGGGGAATGGGTGCAAGATCCAAATGCGCCATACTATACGAATTCAACTTGTTGGATGATACAGGAGCATCAGAACTGCATCAAATTTGGAAGGCCCAACTTGGATTTTCTCAAGTGGAGGTGGAAGCCGGATGGCTGCGAGCTTCCGCTGCTTGATCCGGCCCAGTTCTTGGAGAAGATGAGGGGGAAGATTTTGGCCTTCGTTGGAGACTCGTTGGCTAGAAATCAAATGCAGTCTTTGATGTGCCTTTTGTCCAGGGTACGTTTCTTTTTCAACTTTATTGATGCTGGCAATTAATTTGATTTTAAGGAGGTATTATATATACGTTGAAAAGTTTTGTTTTTTTCTTAAAATGAAATCTAATACTTACAAAATATAGCTTCTGAGCCAAATTTGCAGCGAATTAATATATATATATATATATCTATAAAGGAATGGCCTGAGGCGATTATACGATCCCAGGGCATCCTCGATTGGCCTAACAATTCAAGTACCACATCATTCACCGGGGGGAATTGAACTCCAGAACAGAGAGGACTTACAACTGATAAACAGGTGCCCGGCCAACTGATCAGAGTACGAGGTGCAGCGAATTAATACATATAATATATTTGGTGTGGTGGTTAACTAGCTTTTGGTGGTCATTCCCAGCACACCTGTTACACACCTAATAGACGATTGCTATTTCTGTCCTAACACATTATAGGAAACAGCTAGCAAGCACAAAAATGAAAGGGCACAACTAATTTTCAAAGATATTACAAAAGTAATAATTGCTGGATTATCATGAACGGAAGAAGGCACAAGAGGTTGAGTTTTGAAGTTGCTCAAATGAGTTTAAGAAATAAACTCTATGGTAGAACTAGGTTAAAGCTTTTGCTCACCCTAAAATTTGATATTTTTCGACAAATGATATAAAATTTAATATTTTTTTTCTTTATCATTTAGTAAATTTTGTAATTTTGCTCACTCTCTATAGACATTGATGATGGGGGGTTTCACTTTCAATGATTGGAGGAACCATGATAAATTGATGTTAGGAGGCATCGATGTCACAGAAAGAACATTGAAGGAGGTAGTCGCCCTATAGGAGTGATTCTAAAAATGAGGGACGAAAGGATGATAAGTAAATGGGCTCGACAACAAGTTTTTCAAGCAAGAAAATCTAGAAACTAACTGAGAACTCTTGCAAAAGGGAAATGATTTTGGGGCAAGGGATCATTGTATGAAGGCGGCAAGGGCACGTAGTCGTTGATTTAGTGGTTGTTTGGGTAGCTTTTTCATTATTTTACCTCTAAAACTAATGTTATGCATTCATTTGTCTATGTTTTTATGTTTCATTAATATTTTTGGTCATTATAATAAATCTGTTCTTATAATCACATCTACTAAAATGTACTAGTTGTAACAAAACCATTACATGACATTTTCAATATAGATATGGATGTATGTGTGTGTGTGTGTGTGTGTTCAGAGATTGGCCAGGGGGTATAATCTGAAATATCACCCACTGAAAATCCAATTAAATTACCCTGAAATTTTCATTTCAATCAACACATTCCAAAACAAACTAATATTACTGCCATTTTCAAATCTAAATTTCAGGCGGAGTTCCCAAAAGAGATGCCATCAACAGAGGAGAACCAAACACGCATGTTCTACGAAAGCCACAACTTCACCATCTGGTTCTTCTGGTCTCCCTTCCTGGTTCGTGCAGCCCAATCCAACCACACCCTGCACAGCTTCCCTTCATGGAATCTCTACCTCGACGAGCCCGACCCGCTATGGCCTTCCCTCCTCCCCAACTTCAACTTCGTCGTCCTCAACTCCGGCAACTGGTACACCCGCCCCTCCCTCTTCCACCTCAACCGCACCCTCGTCGGCTGCCACTACTGCCCCATACCCAACCCACCTTACATGAGCCTGCGCCGCGCCCATCGCCACGCCTTTCGCACCGCACTCAACACCGTCGCCGCCGCCCGCCGGCGAGGCTTCAAAGGCCTCACCGTCGTGCGGACGGTCTCTCCGTCGCACTTCGAGGGAGGAGAGTGGGACAAGGGAGGTGATTGTGCGCGCACGAAGCCGTTTCGTGGGGGCGAGGAGGCGCCGAGGCTGGAGGGATTGGAGAAGGAGATGTATGAGGAGCAGTTGAAGGAGTTTTGGAAGGCGAAGTGGGAGGGGAGTGAGGTAGGGTTGGAGTTTAGGCTTTTGGATGCCACTAAGGCTATGCTGATGAGGGCGGATGGGCATCCGAGCAAGCACGGCCACTCCGCCAATGAGGTGATGGTTATGTATAATGATTGCGTGCATTGGTGTCTTCCGGGGCCTGTGGATATGTGGAATGATTTCTTGTTTCAAATTATTGATATGTGAGGTCTATATGAATTTTTAAATTTTTTTTTCCTATTTTTTAGATTTTTTTTTTAATTTGATTTTAGTGATGATGCATGTATATGTTCAATAATGTTGAAGCTATTGATTCTTTAGTAAAATAAGTTTCCATTGGATTTGTAGAATTTTTGATTTATTAGTGATGTTTAGTTCGCAAAGGGGCTTTACAAAAGTAATACATGTTGTTAAAGGCTCCAAAGAATATTGATAGTGGAAGAGTTTAAGATGTGTTCTTCTTGGCTTAAATAAAAATTTGAAGAAGGAAATTGATAATGGGAAGTATGTAATTGGGTGAAAACTCTAGCCCTTTTCTAGCAATCCACTCATTAGTTTCTAATGCTATATTTTATATTGTTTTCATTAACTGATTTTACATACCGCGAATTAAAAAATCCCTTATATTGCATATCATGTAATTGAAACATAGATATTACACCTTACACAATCTGTTACGCCTCCTTTCACCCAATGTTTAGCCCTTGTCATTCTTAATGGTTACAAAACTATCAAAGCCCCTCCCATAGAGCTCCCTCACTACATATTTACTTAATGCCATTGATGAGAAGAAACCCCTCTGCCACTGAGCTTACATGTTAGGATAAGGAACCTCCCCCACCAAGTTTGCTATCTATCAAGCTTCTGTCATTTCAAAGTGTTACAAAACTGTTGAAACCCCTCCCATAGAGATCTCTCCCCATTTGCATGTCTGAGGCGATCGATTAGGAAAAACACCTCTCACACCGAGCTCTCTCTTTAGGGTAAGGTACCTCTCCGACGAGTTCTTAATAGGACCTTTTCTAAGCTCCTTCCAACTTCTTTCTTCAAAGAGGTTCAAGTTCATCCTTTGTCGATTTCAGCCCTATAATGTTGCCTTTTCTTTTCTTTTTGTTGTTTTAATGAAAATTTTTTGGGATTTTTTCTTTCCATGTTTTTGCATTATTTGTTCTATCCTTTCCTTAGATCATGAATTCCATTCAAAGCTTTATGCAGGTTTGCTCTTCTTCATTAATAGTTGGTTGTCTTGTTCCTCCGCCATCATTACCTTTTTACTATTTACTTCTGTCAAGCCTTACCATTAGATATCGATTGGCTGATCTACTTTACATGAAAACCATATTTGTAATATTGATGAGAGAGAAAATATTAGTATTTAATATTATATTTGCTACTAAATTGCTTTCTTACTAAGACACTGTTTTTGTGGTAGTCCATTTCTATACAAATTTAACTCTTCTAACTATATTATACAGATGATCAATGATTAAATAGGAAGCAAATATGATGCTCCTTATTTGTCATTAATGCATAATTCAAAAAAAAAAATGCTCTATACGATGTCATGAATTTACAACATCTATATTTTTTAAATAAAATTGTCAACAAATTCAATAATTATTTTTTCTAAAGCCTTGGTCTTGATCTATTTGATTGAACAATCCTAGAACCCCACATTTTAGTCATAAGTTTTTAATTTAAATGTCAATAAGCATCTTAGGTCTAATAGGGATGCAAGTCTTTTCTTATTTATTTTAGATGAGAATACAATGAAGCATACTATTGGATGTTGAATTAGGTATAATAGGGTTGCGAGTTTTTTTTATTTGCTTTACTAATAATTCATAGATCTTCAAGAAAAAAACATACGGAAACTGGATAATATTGTATTTTTTATGTTTCTATGAATATTTCTTAGGTTAATATAACTTGAAATCAGATTATCAAACTTTTAAGTTGATTTTTTATAATCCCAGACATGCAAATTTATGTGGACCTCAATCCTCTAGTGCTATTATTATGCATATGTATTTATCTTTTTACATATACGCTAGTATATATGCCACTTAATTTTTTTTTCATTTCTAAGAGGATGATAGCAAGTATGAGCTCAAGTCATTCATCAACATCACAAGACATCATTAATTAAAGAATTAATCTAACATGCAACTTATTATGTATAATTTATGTCTTATAAAGACAAAAATTATGAGAGGAACTTTTATCGTTGCCCAAGAAATTTCTTAGAGAATGCTTACAACTATTTCAAATGGATAGAAGAAGTGATTGATGAAATATTTGATGACAATAATACAAAAAGATCAGCAAGAGATGATGACACGATGAAGAAGAACTTTGAAATATAAGATTATTTATCAAAACCTTGATTTCAATCAATGTTATAGTCATAGCTATTATTATGTTATAGTTATGGGGACACCACTTTTATTGTTAAAGTTAAGGACTTGTGAAGATGTCCAAGTATTTTGAACTATAAACTTTTGTAAACCGAAGTATGTACTAATATAGTCTTTAGTATTGGGTTGTTCTATATATCTTGCTTACGGCATGCACGCACTTGGAAACTCTTTATAGCATTTCTAGTAAATTTGTAATTGAATAAAGTTTGTGTTATCTTTTTTGTAGCATTTCTATGAATATGTTGTGTACAATATATATAATTAGTTATGCATGGTATGTTTAGGTGTTAGATGTGTAACTTGAGATTTAGGTGTTCCATATGTAACAACATAAGAATTAAGTGGTATGATTGTGTCAAAATAATTCTTTTATAAGATGAAAGTCATTTAGTGATTTTGGTTACTTATGATTTATTTATTACATATATAGATGTCTTTTACAAGTGAGAATTCACCAAGCTTGGACCATTATTCTTTCCTGTTTCAAGTCCCATAATCTGCTTAATAATGAGGCATTTACATGCATACCACCCAATTCCCATGCATTTACATATCATGCAACTAAACGTTACATTTTACATTTATACTGCCCAAATATTTTACATCACTTGAAAAATACCACCATTTTAACATTTGAAATATAAAATACACATTTTCATGTAGAGATATAGTGGCATGTATGTACAAGTTGTATTAGATATGTAAATACATAGGAAATAAGTGGTATGTATATAAAACTTCTAATATGAGTCAATCTTTTAATTGCATGTATGGAAAAAAAAAAAAACTTCAATAGATCACTTCAATAGATCCACACTTATGAATCAGATACAAATTTTTATTGTTCAGGAAGCTTCCATTCATAGGATGTAGTTGAGAGGAATTGAATTTATATTAGCAATCATATACATATAAGAAACACAAATATGGTTGATAACATGCAACCAAAGGGCAGCATTAACTTACCACTTGATGCCTATGCATAAATATAAATCTATTACTAATTAAAGAAGGTAATCAACTTTCGTGAGGATTTTGTTTCATGTGTGTTCATCATAGAACTCGAAAGATTTAGATCTTAATGATCTGATATGACTTTTGAAGAATGATATATCACCTTGAGGGAAGGAAATACTACATTAAAATGAATCTAATCATTCAGATGATAAAATTTGTAAGATTATGGGTTTATAGAGCCATGGGATTTTCTCCTACCTTTTGGGTATATGATTTATTTTATTCTGGAGTCTGGTATCACTACAAAGGCAAGCCCTCATAGTTTATTACATCTTCAGACTTACGAGATACAAGAAAAATTCTCAATTAAATCATTAACTTTCATTATTAAGCCAAAACGAGGGATCGTGTACCCACAACATCAAAGGCTTCTTCTGATGGCTTGCGTCTCCATATACGTTTGTATAGGATGAGATGCCTTCAGAGGCGTTTCGTTGTGTTGTGGCCCGGTTAGTAACATACGTACCAATGAATTCATGCTAGCATATTTTTCTTTAGCTCTTAAAAGCAGGTCATCATGTGTCGGTGGGGAAGCTAGACGGTGTCTCGGTCCAGCTTTAATGAAAGTGTGAAAGTACTGTTGCTTGTGAATGTGGTAATATTTATCATTCTAAGCCCCAAGTAAAGCTTAATGAGCACCAGAGCTGGAATAACTGGAATCAGTTGGTTCCTCCGGCTGAACTTAACAGGGACCCTAGAGGTGTTGTCTTTTTTATACTTGTGGTGTGGTTTTTCTTTCTTAAAATTTTCTTCTCATTTTAGGAGAGACCGCACACCCCATCTTGTGCAAGATATAGGTGATTGAACACTTCTCCTTTCGGGCCAATGTCTCAAACACAGAATGAATCCTTAAGACAATCGTGCTCATGTCCTTTTCTTTTTGTCAGGAAGGAGACATGTGTGTTGTTAGTGACTTTACGACTATTTTCTTCGTCGTGAACGTCAGACAATGTATAGAATTTGTTTACTCTTAAGAGAAAACAATCCTAGGGAAACTCCATTTCCTCAAGCTCATCAATCTTGATTTCATCAATTTTGTTCTTCTTTTTCTATCAAATAGAAAGGTTTTTATTCCTCCGATGAGTGCTTAGTCAATGGTACAGTCTTAGAGTTGAACTCAATCTCGAATAATGATGACGGTAGAACGTCTTCTTCTTATAGAAGGATATTCTTTCCTTTTACAATCTATTTCCTCCTTAATTTCGACAACAGGTCAAACCACAATAAACTTCAGAGTCATTTTAGTGGTAGGACTTTCTCGGACAGAGTTCGCGTAAGTAAAGGGAACTCCTGGTGGGATGTCAAATTCAACTCGATCCGTGGCTCTATTACCTCTAGGGCAGCAGTCTTTAGTATAGTATGAGGGAAAATGCCAGTTGGGAGTTGCTCTTGACCATAGAACAATCAAACAAGTTTGACTCTCTATTTATGGGTTACTTTCGTAAGGTCTTTTTCGCGGATATGTTCCAAGGCATTTTCAATCTAATCCTATTTGGACATACACACTTGGATTATCACGCAAACTTTATCTTACAAAATTTGTCCATGTTCTTTCCCTCATTTGTCTTCATTGGTATATGCCCTTACCTTCTGATTCCTCTCTTCTCCAAATTAATCATATAATCCAGAAGAGATAATTACCCGAAAAATGGAATTATACAACAATATACAAGCCAACGACTCCAAAAATAAAATAAAAGAGATAAAAAGAACGAAAATAATCAAAACATGAATTGCATTGGCGAGTAGATACATAAAAGAGTAAATGCATGATAGTTGCAAAGGATTTTTAAATACTAAAAAAGCCAGACAAAAATTCATTTCAAAGACATTTAACAAAGACAACATCACTTTCAACTACATTTATGGGTGATTGCTAATAGATTTCTTTCCACTGCGGAAGTTCCATAGACTCATACAATAGATATACATCGTAGTACAAGATTGAACCTAAACAATGCTGTCAAAAAGTTGAAAATAAATATAATCAACTATTATAAACAGCTTGAGATCTCCATTGTCATCCCTAGTGAATAAAGCTTAAACATAAAGAATGAAAATAAAATGAAAATTTTATAAAATAGCATCAACACTTTAATCTGACTCGATTAAGACATTGTTTTGGGATGAAATGGCTTTTGAACACTCACACAATAAAAATAGGTATCCTCTTTAAAGATAAAAGCAGGATACATAATGGTAAGGGTTTTGTGTTTGGATAGGTAGAAATCCCTTTCATTAAACTCCAAACCACAGACAAGGTAAAATCAAGCATTTGTTTGACACAACCAAATAACACTAAAATATATTAAATACCCTATATTTCAATTATATTACATTTATTTTACACGGCCCTTACTTAACTATATGCACGGAGCAACTCAGACATTCAACAAATGATATCAAGTACTCAGCCATTACAGAGACAAGAAACACAGCTCTTTAAAACGGCATTAAATTTAATATACATCTCAAGCAACAAGTCCTGATACAGTCATAACGCAAATCCTCCGGAGATGACCAAAAGACCCAACTCCATGACCAAAATTCTGAAGCCAACTAAACATGTAACTTACAGAAAACATAATATTTGACAACTTCATTAAGAGGAGGAGGAGAAAGTGTCGATGATGGTTGTGTGGAGTGGGTCGCTGAGGTGTGTGGCCCAGTTGTTTAGCGGGCCTTTTCCGGTGACGGCGGCCTGCACAGCGAAGCCGAGGAAGCCGACCATTGCGAGGCGAGCATGCTTGATCTCAGCCAGCTGCAGTGTGGCCTTCTTCTCTGGGTCGGCAGCCAAGCCCAGCGGATCAAAGAACTGGCCGCCGGGGTAAAGTCTCTTCTCTGGGTCGAGCTCGGCGTTCCTCTGAAACTCAATGTATCCGATCAGCAAGACCTCGATCCATATCAAGGTTGTGATGGAGAAAGGCAGCGGTTGTCCCAAGTATGATGAACCCTCCACCAGCTCTACCTGCAATAACGGTAGAATTCAGTCATACATATGCTTGGTCAACTAGATATGTACTTAGTTAGAACACCTATGAGCTTGAAATTAATAAGAAAAAATGCAAATGTGAGTTTCTTTTTTACTTTATTTCCTTTTTCTTATCTTTATTTTTTTATTTTTTTGCATGGACTTCACTCTGTTTACTTGGATTGCTTTATTTATTTTAAATAAAAAATTTTTCCATTCCACATTTCAAAATAATAACAATAACAATAATAACGAGCAAAGTTCTGTTTTATCTCAATTATTTTCTGAAAATTAGGTTTTTACATCAAGTTTGTTTGAAAGCTAAATAGACTTCATTTACCTTTGTGAGCTTATGTAGTAGGAGTGTAAAAAACTCCTAACTTTAGCTTGAGGTTGAGTTGAGCTCGTGAGAATAATGGTGGGCTCGCAAGCTGGCTAATGAGTTGGAGCCAAAAGAAGAAGTTGCCACAAAAGCTCATTAGAGATGACATTAACGTAACCAGTGGCAAGCTAAATGAGCCAGTTCGTCAGTCGACTCAAACTCAAACTCGTTTAAAATGCAAACTTGAGTTTGAGCTCGAGCACAAGCTTATTGCTCGATAAGCTTCTCGAGAGCTGGTTAGTGAGTCAAGTTTCACGGACTCTTACTCTCCTATTACCTAGTAATTTTGCAGGATCCCATACTCAGTCAATAAAATTTAAAATGTTGGAACGATGTATTTATTAGAATTTATGGACAAGATAAAAAATTAGCATATGTTAGTGCCCAAATCTAAATTCATCCAATCATTATTCAAAGATTTAAAACAATTAATGCTAAGTTGAATGGAGTGAAAAGTCAAGCCCTTTTTTAAAGTAAAAATTTCTCATCTATTTGAGTAATTGGACTTCCATTGTAAACATAGGCTTCTCAATGCTCTTTCAAATTCTTCATATATTATGTATTATAAAATTATAAGTGCCAAAGATATATAGTTCACCTTAGAATTTGACTATTATATTGATGATGCCTAGAATTACAAGGTTTAATGCTTCTTTCTTTTTAATACTTAATATGTTAGATGAAATATTACATCAATTTTAGGAAATCATTAAAAAGGCCCAACCTCAAAATATCAAATAACTGAAGAATTTAAAGTCTTGTCCTTTGATCTTGTTTATCTTGTTTGTTAGCAGAAGTTAAGTTGCGCTTACTTTGATTTGTAAATATGTTAGCGGCGTATTATCATATTTCCACTTTCTTCATACTATAAAAGCTTATGTGCTTGCAGGTTGATCCGAAATCAGATTCCATAACAAGACACAATAAAGCTTATTATTGAATCTATAGTGCATTATTTCTAAAGATCAGGATTAATGCTCATTTTTGTTCTGATCCCTCCTATTTTTCTACATTTAAGGACTCAAGTGGATTAGATGTGCACTTGGGGACAATCCTAAAGCACAAATGTTAGAAATAGGACAAATTGACATCAAAATGGCCTCCTGCAAAGTCCTAACTCTTCATGTAGTGTTGTTTGTTCCTTGAGTTTGGCGAACTTATTCAGTCTTTGTTAGCACAATCTGGTTTTAGTATTGTATTACCAAAAGTTGTGATTTGTAAGAGGAATGTCTTCATTGGAAAAAAAATTGTTTAGGTTTTCTAATAAAGTTGATGTTAATGTTTCTCCTATTAAAACGAATGTCTTCAATCTTCATGCTAGACATGAAAAGCTTGAACACGATTATCATGATAGAACTAAATGAATGATGAAATGAATGTAAATTCAAATTTATAATTGAATAAAAATTTTTAAGTGTAAAATATGTGTTGAATCTTAACAAACTAAAGAACCTTTCAAGCAAGTTGAAAGAAAGTCCCCTATTTAATAGTACATTCAAAGAAATGCATGTGATTCCAATAGAATTCCAACTATATGTGAGAATCATAACTTCAAAACCTTTATTAATGACTATACTCGTTTTTGTTACAGTTATCTTTTTAAATATAAAGATGAAGTATTTGATAGATTGGTAATCGATCAGGTCAGATTTTAGAACCAATAAGAAAAGATAGATAAATCCTCAGATCTGATCAAGGGGATGAATACATCCTCACTTATCATGGATAAATTTTGTGAAGAGTGACATCACCCATGAAGTGATTGCTGTATCATCAATATATGAACTTACTATGCATCAACTGAATGTTACAAAAACAATTTTAAATGATTATTAGCAATAAGAAATATATGCTAATCTGATCACGGAATGAAGATTTGGATAACATTTTAAAAAAGTCTACAGAGACATATATGAATGTACCTTGCCGGCATCCTGCCAAGTGATGCCTGTGAGGGCCTCGACGGCGAGTGCGCCCAGTGTGGCTAACATCGCCCAGCGGCCATGAATGAGCTCGCACTCCCGAAAACGTTGGAGTCCGAAAACCTCCGCATATGGCTGGAAGGGCGTCGACTTGACATCAGCCGTCTCTGTTCTGGTACCAATCACATCACCGGCGAGGTTCTTCGCGAGGTTCTGGTCGAGGGAATCAAGATCAAACTGCAAGTACTCCGCCGGCTTGCCTAAACCAAAGGGATCGAAGCCATAGTCACCAACCAGAGTGCCGTCCAGCCACTCAGGAGCTTTAGCTCCTGGGTACCAGAGAGGCCGGTCTGAGCTTCCGGCAGGCTTTTTCGCCTTGGGTTTCTTTTTGCCGAACCCGAATCTGGCCTGAAATCGCCCGCTGTCGGGCGTGGCGGTCATGCGTGTGCCGAGAAAAGTGGAGACGGCGGCGGCGGCGGTGGAAGCGGCCATTGGCTTTGAAAGGTTGGAGATGAAACTGGATTGTGAAGACGATCGTAGAAGTGCTTCTGCTTTATGAGAGTGGGGAGCGACCTCGAAAATCAGGGATCCAAGATCGTGCGGTTGGTTGGGTCGATCGAATCAATCTGATGGCTGTGATTTTCCCATGCCTTATCGTCTTATCTGTTTGCTTGGATGACGAGAGATTTTCTTTTGGACGAGATGAAGGGGAGCGTGGCTTCATTGGCTGGCAGAGGGGAAGGCAGCTTGTGCGGCTGGAATAATTCCAATGGCATGTTTGTAATATTTATAATGATAATTTAATATTCACATTTAAAAAAACTTGGGTGTTATAGACCTATACATGAAAAATAAAGAAGAGTATTCTTATTTTAAAAATTTAATAATAATAATAATAATTTTGATATGAGGTTAAAAATTTGAGTGGCATGTTTGTAAATATATAGGTTTTAGATACATAGATATATAAAAAACTAAGGGTCCGTTTGGGACAGCTTATTTGGTGCGGTGACGTTTTGAAAACGCACCTGATTCGTTTGGGTAAATTGCGTTTTGACAGCTTATGCGTTTTCAACACGTTGAAAACAGTATTTTCACACCGCACCTATCTAGGCGTGATGACAACTTTCTAACAGCGATCTGACTTTTCCAAAAAAAATAAAAATTAATAGTAGCCCCCGCACCTAGCTTATCTAGTCACCTAGCTTATCAGTAGATTATATTATTTTTAATCAGCTTATCAGCAGATTATTTAATAAGCTGCCCCAAACAGACCCTAAGAATGTCATATTTAGTAAGAAATTAGGAATGTTATCATCGGGTCTTTAGTCCATAATAACACTGAAATTTAACTTCTACTCCTCCCTCTCATGTGAATATATGGAGTCTATTTTAGCTTCGAAGGGAGAGGCATTTTGGTCATTTGGCAAACAACCCCTGTAACCACCATATTAGATGACCCTAAAGGTGTAAACGAACCGAACACGAACAAACAGAGCTTGTGTTCGTGTTCGGTTCGTTTGAAATTTAGTTTGTTTGAAATAAGCTCGTGTTCGAAATTGTTCGTGAAGTCATTGTTTGTGTTTGTTTATTAACGAACGAGCCGAACACGAGATGTTCACGAACAACAAGCCAGTTTGACATCCCTAATATTAATATATATAAATAACATACTATATTAATTATATAACTTATATTATATAAATATATAATATCTATATCAGTATATTACTAATATAGTATACTAATATATTATTATTATTAATTTACAATCTATTATAATTTATAAAATTTAACTTTTTAAAATATCATAACTTTTAATATATAACTATTCTAAATTATTTTATATTTTGAACAATAACGATTCAAACACGAATGAACGCATCACTGTTTATGTTTGGTTCATTTAACTAACTGAACAAAAGGAATTTGTTCACGTTCGTCTCGTTTACTTATCGAACGAATCGAACACGAACTCATTGACAAACCGAACACGAACTGTTCGCGAACAACAAGCTTTTTTGACAGCCCTAGATGACCCATATTGATTCCCCTTGATCATATGATTTTCTTAATGATTTAAGGGCCTTAATGACTTCAAAATTAAGCGAGCTTAGGCTCATTAGAATTTTTTTTATTTTTGTTGAGATGCTCTATTTGAATAGAAATATGTCAAATTTTGAGTTCATTTGATTATAAAATCGACAATCCAAACCTCTAAAGACATTCTAACAGCTTGATATTTGCTTGATTGAATTCAGATCAAACCAATTTTAGTATCATCGAGCTCATCTTGTCGAGATGACCAATTTAACTATACTTATTGAAATCGGAGCCCTATACGACATTGAAATTAGCTTCTAGAATATTTTTACTAACTTTTTAAAAGTGATATAAATCTTGCCATGCATAGGTTTATAACACCAAATTCCTATGTGTCATAGATGTAAATATTAAACTTTAGGTGTTGGATATGCAAGTACATATAAAAATTGTGTGATATGCGTGTAAATCTCCCAAATAAGAAAATAAAAGCAATGTGTCACGGACAAATAGTTCCACATCGGCTAAGTGTAGGGCCGAAAAGCAGTATTTAAGTCCTGGGCTGCCCACCACCCATAAGGGCTCTTTTGGGAGGTGACAAATGGCTATGGATCCTTCACCATTGTTGAAATTTCATTCTGCTCTCTTTCAGCCCTCTCAAAACCACAGCAGCATTAGAATGATATGTTGATAACTAATTATATCCAGAAAAGTGTCAAACTAATAAGTCAGATAAGTGTATGTTGGGAGTCATTTTTATCTCAAAATTTATAAAATACAAATTTAGTCCTCATACTCTGTTAATATGGGCTGAAATAATCATCACTGTTTCAACCCCAATTTAAGAAGTATGGAGACTAAATCAACGCTTCTATAAACTCTAGGACTAAAAGTCAGGGGACCATTTTGAGACTTCATTGTAATTCTATCAATAAGATATACTGCAATTATTGCAATTATTTCTATTTGTAATAATTGATTATTCACTATGTACTTGTCTTTTAGCTGCCAGGTTCTTTTATAATTTCTATCAGAATAGCAAAATATGCTATATAGCAAGAAGGAAATGGAAATAAGATTTACTTTTTAAAAAAAAAAAACTCTAAATTCATAAAATATCAGAAAAAAAAAAAAAAAAAAAATTTACTCAAAGAAACACAAGAACAAGCAGCAGATCCCATTTACAATTCACAATATGAAGCATAATGATCTGATACAGCCCACCAATCTGATCATAATGAACTACCTTCCATATATATGAGTTTAAATTTAACGGTAATAAACAACGGCTATATTTCCTTAAGACCATATGAAGAACTTTCAAATCAAGGAAGAACTACAGGTAAACGTTCAGGAACAAAATAGAGCAGAAGAAATCTAATCCCACTGAATTTCTCTGTGAAAAGTCCACTCCGAAGGATTAATGGTGGAGATTCCATCAGAAGCAACAAGATCATAAGATGAATCCTCTGCAAACTCTGTCGCCATAAACTTCCAATGAAGAGATGGATTCCAATCTGCCTCTTTGAGAATCTTCAGTATTTGCTCCACAACTATCTTACTCCCTTCAGATGAAAAATGGAGACCATCACTGAAACCAACCATGTTTCAATATCATTATTTCATTAATTAAAAAAAAAGGAAGATTTACATGCATAACACACCATTCCCTAAACTTTAATATTGCATCTATCCCACTTATGCTTACATTTCACTTGTTATAAGTTTGTAATAGTGGTAGTTTTAATGTTATAGTGAAGATTTGAGCGTTATATAACACACAATTCATATGTATTTACATATCTCACACTTAAACTTTTATATTTACACATAAAGCGCTCGAATCTTTAATATCATGTCAAAAATAGCAGTATTCTTGCTTTTTAAAAGTAAAATACATCTTCTCATGCATAGATTTAAATCACCAAAGTGTTTAGATATGTAAATATGGAAGTTTAGGCATGAGATATGTAAATACATAAGAATAGTGTGCTATGTATGTAAATTTGACATATAAAAATAAAAATTTAGGTGTTAGATATGTAAATACATAAGAATTGTGTGGTGTGCATGTAAAAAGCCCACAAAAAGAAATGTAAAGGGTTAGAAATATCAATAGGAAAATGCAGAGAATAGTGAAGTTTTGATATAAATTGAATAAAATGAGATTGGAGGCGTACGTAAAACATGTATCAGCCCAATCATCCCTTTGTTGAAATGAAGTCCAGAGGTCAATAACCTTCAAGTTAAACTCCTCGCAAACTTGTATGCAAGCTTCAGAGTATAGCCGGCAGGTTTCATTCGTCCGAACTATCTCGCTTAATGCAGGGCTGCCATGAAAATAGCTCAGACTTATAAGGGAGGGATACAAGCTACATACATAGCACTAGAAACATTGGTTTTACAGGTCTACCACTCTTTCATCCATTTTTCAAATTTTCACTCATATTTTTCATTTTTTTTATCAAAATCTCAATGGTTTGATCCTGACACAAGTAAATGCATCAATTAGGTAATTCAAAAAATTACCCGGGTGCTAGTTTTGTAAATAGCAATGTTTAGACTGTTTTGTATGTAATTATCACTAGAATTTAAATTAAAACAAGCTCCAGCACAGCAGCACCTTGTAGATTGAAGAAGCCTTTCTTCGTTGAGAGGAGGACAACTAAGGAAAATAACACGCGTGGTTTCTGACAGATTCTATGGTAAAATGAACAAATTAAATGTCAAAATTTAGTCAGTTTAAACATGCACAGACATATTAAAATAAATAAATAATACCTTAAGGTAAGCAGCAATCTTTCTCATGTTCTCCTTATATTCAGGCAGTGGTACATGAGGGCCTAAGCCAGATGGATAAGGTCCAATTGAATCGTTGCCGCCAAAATAAGCAATAATTAGAGAAGGTTGCACTGTTGCATCCTACAAAAAGGGAATTATTCGAAGCAATGTAAGCAGTGACAGTGCTTAATGGGCATAACAATTTCTACAATGCGGGGTATAAATGTAAATAGGAGGTTGTAAAAATTTGATTTTTTTTTTTTTTTTTAAAATTTAAAAGTCAAAACCCGTTATGATGCAAGCTTTAGCATTACCATAAAATTATTTTTTGAGAATCAACTGGAAAGAAATTTCTTTAAATACCAAATGACAGTTTTTTAGAAGATTGATCAGGTTGCAATTCTTTAAAGCGCAAAATGGATATTTCTTAGCACAACCCTTTTCTGGAGTTTTTTTAATTAAGTATAAGGCAATTATTCAAGAGAATAAATAGTGATAAAAGTCATTTAAAATATGTTCATGAGAACAAGTGCGTCAGTTTTCATTGACTTGTGGCATGAGTTAGAAAAGTTTTATTAGAATTGAAATGTGCACAAAGAAAATTGATGCGTGTCGGGATGTCAGTGATGGTAGAATAATGAATTATTGTCTTAGCATTACATGAAAATTCAACACACACTCAGATAATAAGAGAGAGAAGTAAGCAAGAGAAATCTCAATTTTTACATGAAAAAAGTTTGGAAAGTGGAAAAAACCATGAGGTCTAGCCTAATTGAAATAATTCACTATGAATGATGAGTACATATGTCCACACTTCTTCTGAATTAGAGAATATATTAAGTTATAAAGTTGATAATTACAAATGTACAAATATTGTTCATTGATAGTCGTAGTCTACCTGTAATGAATGTAGTTTCGGTGATAGCGGGTTGTAAGAGTCGAATTCAATTGCTATGGATGTAGTACTTCATCGTGAATGTTGTAGACGATGGTAGTAGCATCAGCTTGTCATATAGGCTATAGTTGAAAGTCATGGTAGTGATTGGTCGTGTGGGCCGAGAGTGGGGTCAGGTAGGAGGCTACAAGAGTTACGAGCTACATAGGTCGTAGTGGTCGCATAAGCCTTAATGGTAAGCTACGATGACGTTCGTAGACAACAATGGTTGGTCGGAATCAGAAACTACACGAGATATGAGCCACATAGGTCATAGTTGGTCACAAAGGTCGTAATCAAGAGCTGCGCGAATTGTGTACCACATAAGTTATATTTGGTCACGTAGGCTATAATTGGTCACGTAGACCGTAGTAGTAAGTTGTGATGTCGTCAATAGGCCGCAGGGGCTAGAGTCAAGAGTTGCACGAGCTATGAACTACGTAGGTCATAGTTTGTCAGGTAAGTGGTAAGTCGTAATAATGAGTTGTGAAGACGTTCGTAGACTGAAGGGGACATAGTCAGGATTTGCAGAAGCTGTGGACCGCATAGATTGTAGTTGGTTGTGATGATGAACTCGAATTAACTATAAGCTTTTCAGATTTATAATTTGTTTGACCATTCAATTATGTACTGAAAGCTTTGAAAAGCGGTTAATGACTTGATATAGACTTGATTTGACTCAGATTTAACCAATTTTATTATCGTTGTGTCCATCTCTTCGAGTCAATCAATTTAATTGTAAGTTTGCTGAAATTAGAATTTTGAATTATTTTTTATCAAAATTTGAACATTTATTGCTCAAAGATTACCTCAAGATTCATGTCGAATATGGAAATTTGTTGATGGCGTGTCAGATGCCCCCTATTTTTGGAAGAGATCAACTTTGTCGTCCAAAAAAGAATAATATACGGGATTACACACACACACACACATATATATATTATAGTGTAATTTTATGAGAAAAGCTTTTTCGTTGAGTTGACGGCTGATTTGTTTAATTTGTGAAAGGTCATGGGTTTAAATCTCTTCGACTTACAAATTGAATTATTTTTTACAGTCGGAGGTGACAACCAGAGGTGGAGGCCACCTGAGTTGGCCAGAGGTGGTGGCAGCTAAAGACAACGACTAAAGGCGACAACGACCTGAGTTGATCAAAGGTGGCGATTAGAGTTGACCGAAAGCGATGACAAAGGCTACTAGAGATGGTCGAAGTTTGCGGCGGCTACTGCCAAAGTTGGTCGGTGGTGGCCGAAGTTAACTAGAGTTGGTGGCGGCGGCAGCTTTCGGAATTGGCCGGTGGGAGGCGAAATTTGCAGGAGTTGGCGACAACTGTTGCCGGAGTTGGTCGGGGGCGGTGACCAAATTAGCCGGGAGGGGTGGCTAGAGTTGGCCAAAGGTGGCAGTCGTGGCTGTCGGAGGTGGCGGGCAATAGCTGTGACTAGAGGTCATGGACAATGGGCTGCCATGTTAGCGATTTGAGGATGCGGGATCGAACGACAGGAGACGAGAGTGACCAGGTTGATGGCGAAGGGCCATATTAGTGATCTGTGGACATGGACGGTGGCCTGCCATGTCAGCAATCTAGGGAATGTGAGATCATACGTAAGAAGGTGGAAGTGATCTAGTGACCGGTAGATGGCAGACGAAAAATATCAACGATCCATAGATCAAACGAATATTGGATATTTTTAATGTTTTTTTTTTGTCATATTGAGCCTATAAATAGGTCAAAAAGAGGAAAAAGGTGGTCACCCAACCTGCTAGCACACGATTAACGAAACTCACAAAAGAAAAAAATTGGAGTCTATCGATCTGCTAGCAAGCGATCAACAAGATCTCTAAAAGAGAAAAGGTTTCCTCTGGCCTGATTGCAGACGATAAACGAGATATCTTTTTATGTTGTTGTCGCGCTTTCCGGAGGAATAAGGTGGAGTCCCCTGGTCGACTAGCAGGTAATCAACGAGATCTCTAGAAAAAAAAAGTTTTAATCTGGCTTGCTTGCAGGCGATCCATGAGATCATCTTTCGCGTTAATGTTGCGTTTTCCAGAGAAAGAAGGCAGAGTCCCTCGGCCTGGTGGCAGGCAATCAATAAGATCTCATTTCATGTTGTTGTTGTGCTTTATGGAAAAAGAATGTGGAGTCCCCCAGCTGCTAGCAGATCAACTGAATCTCTAGAAGAAAAAATATGTCCCCCGGCCTTCTTGCAAGCGATCAACATGATCTCCTTTCACGTTGTCGTTATGCTTTTTCGGAGGAAAAAAATGGAGTCCTCCGACCTACTAGCAAGCGATCAACAAGATTTCTAGAAGAAAAAATGTGTCCCACAGTCTACTTGCAGGCGATCAACAGGATCTCCTTTCACGTTATTGTCGCCATTTCCGGAAAAGATTTCTTGTGTTATTGTGGTGTTTAATAGAAGAGATTTTTTACATTGTTATCACGCTTTTCGGAAGGAGATTTTTCACGATGCTGTTACGCTTTCTGGGGGAGTATTCCCGCGTTGCTGCGGTGATTTCTAGAGGATATTTTTCGTGTTGTTGAGATGCTCTCTGGAGAGTCTTGTCCCTCTAAATATAAGCAGAAGTACCAAAATTTGGAGGCATTTCAACATCATTTGAAGATGTGCTGACTTGTTGTGACCTTTATATTAGTGTGTATTGGTCTTTGTAGCATTTCAGTCATATAATATCGTATTTGTACACGTTGATAATGTGTCTATCTGTATGTCTTTCTTCTATTGATGTAATAAAAATTTCAAAATTACCTCTGAGGTTGTTTTTATCCTTTCTTTTGAGCTATGAGTGTTTCAACTTTTGGGCAGTTACAAAATATTATTGCCCAATTTCTGAGCTAACGTTGCCCGACTTCTAAGTTGTTGCTAAGAAAGTTTGATTTTTTTAAGGTTGCTCATCAGAGCGTGCTTCTTGATAACCACAGCCTGCAGTAGAAGAATCAAGTTCTAATCCATGAAAGATGTAAGACCAAAACTAGGTTGTATAACAGGGATGTTCGACGACATTAACTATATTGGAATAGAGTCAAAAGAATAATCCATTAAGAATGTAAGACTCATCTTAGGTTGTATAGTCGGAGATGATTGATAATATTAAATTAAGATAGACAAAGTCCTATCAAATCCACCAAAGATGGTTGACCTATCAAAGGTTATTAATCGAGGTTTTTACTTGTTGGTCGTAACCTGTAATGAAAGAGATTGCGGGGAATCTATCGAGAATTGTTTACAAGTCTGAGGCAGTTATTCGAAGCTTCCGTCTGATGACCATAGCCTGTGATGGAAGATGTCAAATTGAGTCCCCTGAGATGGATTAAAGCCTAGAATGAGATATCAAAGATGCTTTGTGTTCTCAAGACTATGGTATAGGTCGCAATAGATTGTACTTCTTCTTGAAAATATCTTTGCGATCATACTCAAGAATAATGTTTGACAACTTGATAGTTGCTACTTTTGAATTTATTGCACCCGATAGGGAGTTTTTCACATGTTATATAACAACCCATGTATCGAACATTGAAGAGCCCAGTCTGGAAGTGGTTCGCGAAGACTTAATGTTTAAATGAAACGTGAGATCATTAACTTTGGAAGGGGAAAAAACCATAGGCCTAGCACATTTGAAATAATCCATCATAAATTCTGATTACATAGGTCAACTATTCTCATGAATCAAGAAAAATGAAAGTATAAAATTGATTATTGTAAATTTACAATATTAGTTCATTGATAATAATCGTAGTTTAACTATAATGAATGTAGTTTTTAGTGATAACAGACTGCAAGGGTCATAGTCAATTGCTATGAAGATAGTAGTTCGTCGTGAATGTTGTAGACACTGACAACAATGTCAGCTGATTGTGTAGGCCATAGTTGTGGTTGGTCGTGTAAGCCGCAGATAGTTGTTTTAGAAGCGTATGTTGGTTGCAGAGACAGTAGTAATAAAATGTAGGAGTTGTGAGACATGCAAGTCGTAGTTGGTCACATAGATCATAGTGGTAAACTATGCTATCATCTATAGATTGCAGGGGATGGAGTGGGGACTTGCACGAACTATAGACCACGTAGACTGCAGTGGTGAGTTGTGATGACGTTCATAGGTCGCAGAAGCCTGAGTCAAGAGCTGAACGTGTTGTGGACGATATAGGTTGAAGTCGGTCAAGTAGGCTATAGTGGTGAGTTGTGATGACATCCGT